TTGAAACAAAACTTTTTTATAGGCATTAAATGTAAGCAAAAGAGAGCATTAAAATTGTTTTAGTCCCAGTAGAAACAGTTATGCCCAGGCTAAACACATTTTTGAGGATATCTGATGGAAGATGTTTACTGTTTGTTGAAGTTAAAACACGAACAGTGTTTTACAATCCAGAGACAGGTTAGACAAACAAAGAGTCCCGTGATTCTGGATAAATGATCCTTAAAAACAAGAGAGGGAGAACAAAACAGGCTAAGTGTTCTCCAGCAGTTCACTTTGGTGGGTCAGAAGTGTAAAAGCCCCATGTCAAGCCTGCTCAAGAAATTAACAGGGAAACAAGGAAAGCGAAACAAAACCAGAGACAGAAACCTCAGGAATTTTAGTGTCTCTTCTGCTGAATTGTGCCTGCAACATTTCCTACATCTGTTCCTGGTTTGCCCTTGTTTAAGACAGAAGAGATCCTCCACCTTTGCTTGTGAAGAGCACAGAGAATGTTACTGAGGAGATGGGATGGCAGAGAAAAAGCAAGCAAGAGGCCTTCCTCCCCCTCCTGCTCTTTTCCACCAAGTATCTCTGAGTTATTTACATCCTCATATCCCAAACTCCCCCTCCAGTTTCACAGCTTGCAGTTCACTCTGCGTTCTGGTGGACACAACACATGTTTAGTTTCAGCGTGTTTAGGCTGGAACACCCTCTGAACGTGAGGCCAGGTCACAGAGCCCACAGAGGGAAGAATTTCCAGATGCAGAGATGGGCTAGAAAATAAGAGCCAGAAACACGAGGCTCCATCTCTCCACCAGCCTGGAGAAATCAACCTGCTCTGTGGAGGAGACAACTTAAACAGCTTGGCAACGCCTACAGCTGGTGCTCAACCTCAGATCCAGTGAAAAGATGTAAATATTTAGATTTCAATTTCATCTGATATGATAAATATAAAATCTCTATTTCCTTCGTAAAAAAAAAGGCAACATTAAAATAGGTAAGCCACCCACATAGAGAAAGTGATTCTACTGTGTTTGTACCTTTAGAAGGTTATTTAAGTTATGGTATTGATCTTGAAACAAATTACAAGTGAAATTATTCCCATTTAATTGTCCTCTGATGTATACAAAACGTATATATACAAATGCATATTGTTTTTCTGTTCCTTCCAAACAAGTAGTGGCTGATGGCAGCCCATTATTTTTTTTTACCCTTCCAGAAATGCCTCCAGCCCTCCAGGTTTTGCTCTGGATAACTCTGACTCCAACCCAAATCACCTGAAAAGAGACACAAAATGATCCAAACCCAACTCCTTATGAATACCTGTACAAAACACAGCTGAAGCTGAACTGCTGTTTACCACGGCTGTACTAGAAAAACCTGAAATCCTCCCATAACCTTCTAAAGCACATAATGGAATTAAGGCCCCTCCACACATCCAGAGTTAAGTCATGCAAATACCAAACTTCTTTGGAGCCAGATAAAGTGGCCTCGCCCCTGCGGTGCCCAGATACCTCAGTGCTGATGTGATTACACACTCCCACCCTCCAAATTGGTTATCACGCCATTAAAATGCCTTCCCAGGTCACTGCTCTGAGGGTTAAGCCTGAATTAGTATCCCAAAGCTTCGTGATTGTTATGTAAGTGCCAGCAATCCAAACAAATCAGAGTTAGCTTCCCTGTCCACTACAGGAATCCCTCCCTGCCCAATGATGAATTACAAATCTTTCAGCAGTTCATTCACTGCTTTCTTCCCCAAGTCCTCACCAGCTGTGCCCTCCCAGCAAAAAACCTCTGTTCCACTACTGGATTTTCTGGATCTCAGTTCCCTCCTCCCACCGTAGAAACTGGTGGAAAACCCCTGAGTAGAAATCCCAGTATCTGGTCTCTGACTGGAGACTGAGCTGTTTAAAGAAAGCCATGAGTGGCAAATCACTTTTTCCTCATCACATCGAGGGACTCCCTCCAGTTCACCTAATCCAAGGACAGTGTTAAGATTCGTGCCCACATCTCAGCACTCACCAACCTCAGCTGTCCAAACACACAAAGCCAGGACTGTAAAAGCTGTGCAGAGTCCTCGCTATCCAAGGTACTCAGTATTCAGGCTTGGGTTATTTTTGCAGGAAAACAACTTGAGGTCCACAGAGGTGCAGATTTCTGGATGTTGTAGGTCTTCAAATCTGTCTGAGCAAGATTTTCTGGAGGCTGTTTAAAGCCAGATAAAAAAAAAACCGAATTTGGAGTTCTCAGCCACTACCTGGGCCAGGAGAAGCCAAAAATCAGCCTGTGCTGCTGTTGGGAGACCGAGACGCTGCCGTGGGTGCCCCTGCTCCTATCAGCACTCCTCCCTGAGCCGCGGTGTGTGCTTTGTCCCTGCCCTCGGTGGCACCCTGGGCACACTCAGGGCGCTGGCATGTCCCTGCCCGCTGCCAGGTCCGAGGCTGCCGGGACAATGACCCCGCACGGCCGCTCCCGCAGCCCTGCCAGGCCCCCACCCTTCACTGGCCCGGGGTCCTGCTCATCCTCCTCGCCACCCCTGGCACGGGAAGCCCAGGGCAGGAAGGCGCTGCTTTCCCTCCCGTTTCCCTCCTGGGTGGCCTCTCCCTGCAAAGCCAGCACCTCCTTGCTGGATCAGCTCAGGTGTGGCCGAGGTCCCCAGGGCACGTTTTAGCCCTGTGCCAACTGCATTTCTTCCCTGCACCCAGAGCTGCCCAAAAACTATTTATCTCCACTTGCCTGAGCAGCCTCTTGTTTGTTCTCCCCTCTGAAGCCTGGCCCTGTGTCACACACTCAGGAAGAGCTGCAGGAAGGGGAAGCAGCTCTGTCTCCAGATCCTGCCATCCCTCAGGAGGTCCCCTGCACCTCCCCCTCTCTCCTCCAAAATGAAAGACACCTTTTTCCAACTGGTTTCTAAATTCTCCGGTGGGATTTACTGAAGCATTTTGCTGTGAGCATCTAAGAAGTATCAGTTTAATTAAAAGAAAAAATTAAAACCGCTATACAATCACACCAGCAAACCCTTTCCTCTTTCCTATGGAAAATGCACAAGCCTGACTTCAGGAGCTCTATTGACTGGGCATCGTGCTAATTAGAACTCCCTGTAGTGACAGGTTCTGGGCCAGCCCCAGGCTAGATTGTTTTCTTCTTACATTAAGAACATCCAAATACCATCCATTACTTTGTTCATTTAAATTTTCCTAGGACTCTTGGCATGGACACCACAATTAGAGAAGCCACTTTCCCTTTCAGTTCGTGGGTGAGCTCAGACAGACTCTGCCCCAGTACAATCTTGTGGCACTTGGATTTCCTCCAACACCCAGGAAAAAAAGTTATAAATAAAAAGTGTTTTATTTATTCCCTCCCCCCATTAATTATTCCATTTCCATTCACACTGAAAACTACAGCACATTTTTGTTTATAAGATGCTTTCGGGCTCAAAATTAAATTTAGGCATATTTTACCAATTTGGGGAGATAAACAGAAATATTAATTGCATCACGCCCTACGTCAGCCAGTTTTAAAATTAAATGAGAAGGCATCTTCACCATTTAGAGAAATTGACTGTTAAAGAAAACCATGGGTTGCTTTTTCCTTCTAAGAAAACAGAAATAAAGCAAAGCGACACATCGATGCCTGTTTCCAGCCTCTCCTCTTTTTTGAGTCTCTAATAAGAGGAAGCCTAAAAGAAAAACACCTTAAAAGAAGAAATGTGTCTCGAGGGATCTGGCTGGTCCTGGAACAGGACATTATGGTGAATATGCATGAAAGGCATGAGTCAAACTGTACTCAGGAGCGAGCATCAGCTTTCACTTGCCATTTTCCAAAGCCTTCCACTCAGGCTGCCAAGACAGCAACTAAATGACAAGAGTTTTATTTGAATGCAGAGGGGAGATTAATGCTCCTTAGGACTAATTGGAGGAACCTTCTTTAAATTAGCTCACTTGAGGGATGTGCTGCTTCTTTCTTTGGCCAGCTCACAGAAGCAGTAACAATTCGTGAATAAAAATAGAGTAATTCTTTAAATTCAAAACCTTTTAGCCCCACTGTCAGTTTTAAGTTTTGAGAATTTCTATTAGGGGGAAAAAAAAAATCAGGACAAGGTCTTTCCAAACTGGTTGCTGTCAAGTAAAATGAGAAGTTAGATAAAACTCCCACGTGCCAGATGGTAAATCACAATAAATGCTCAGGCTGTTAGATGCACAACAAGCGACAAAGCATTGACATACACCATCAGCAGCAAACCCAAAATAGAAAAGATATTTTAATAAGAAGTTGTCATTTGGGGAAAAGATCCTCGTGAAGCTCATCAGAATCAAAAGTCATACACTGAGGGCTTCTTATTTTCCTCATCACCTCACATATGCCTGAGAACAACCAACAGTTTCAGGTGACTTACATTAGGCTCAGGGCTATAGTCAGCAAGAGCCTTGGAGTTCACTATTTAGGAACCACTTCTGATCCTTTCTGCCAAGTTCTTAAAAAAAATATTGTTAAAGGATACCAGGGAATTGTTTACTCAAACCATTACTGTTTCCCGAACACAGACGCTAGAAAAAGTTTTATTAAGAAGATAAACAGCTGCTACTGTACACGGTTTAGATGGCAACAAAAGCATCTAAGGGCCATAAAGGGAATAGTAAGGGAATTAAAAAGCATTTTTATGCATGAAGATAGCTAACATCTGTACGTTCATTAAAGTGGTATCAACTATGCTTTTAATTAAAAGTTAGTGATAGAAACTTAAATATGATTAATGAAGCCCAGCAGCCTACCAGAAGTCTGCTCCATCAAAAGCAGCACAAGCTGCGTTCCCAGCCCGGGCTGCTCATCCTTCCCCTCTCAGAGATGCTGCCACAACCAGAACACACTGCAAGGACCACAAAGCAGAAATCCTGAGACAAACAACAAGCCAGGACAAGTCTGCAACCGTGCTTTCATGCCTGGCCATCCTTGATTCTGTGTATCCCGAGGAGGCGTTTCAATTCCCGAGCAGCCCGCGGCCAAAACAAGGAGCTGGTTACCTGTCAGAATAACCAGGCACTCCGAGATCCATCAGCCACCGGCGGCACGAGGTCTGCCCCAGGAAAACAGGGAAAAGGGCTGCGAACAGCAGTCTCCTATTCAACACTGGGGGGGAAGGCGGGGAAACCCCTGGCCCAGAAGCCAGTGCTGAACTCTGTAAGGCAGTCAGTCGTCTTGTGTTACTCGGGAGCACAAGGCAGTCACGACAAAAATAAACCACGCGATAAAAATACAGCACGAGCAAAAAGATGTGGGCACGGAGCAGGAATCGGTGCCATCGGGGGGGGATAAGGAGTCCTACAGCCACTGATATTCTGACATGCCCTCAAACACCCGCCTATTCACATCCTCATGTCCACACAGGCTGATCTATTGCCACTGTCCTGTTCAGAGCTGAGCACTCCCAGATTATGTCTTCAAAGGCTGAAAACGCCTCCTGACATCCAATTCCCACTTAGCAGCTTCCAGACGCACAGAGCACGGAGAAGATGGAAGCTCTCACTTTAGAGCAGGTACCAACACATGAAGAAACTTTTTGTTTTGCTTAAATACACAGTTTAAATAGACTTCACCTCAGTCGTGGGATTTAAGCTTGAAATGTGACAGGACTGACTCGTGTGGCTGACTGAGCAGGGCACTCCTCTGAATGATGCTCCCAGCCCGGGCACCTCAGCACACTCTGTGCTTCTGCTCCTTCAGTGAAGCAGGAGAGTCTGGGGAGGAGGTGAAGGAAGGGATTTAACCCTCCCTCAGCTGGGCAAAAAGCTGGAGCTGTTCATGCTGTAGCCGTAGGACAGCAGCAACACGCTCCATGATAGAGCCCAAGGTTGTTCGGGAACACCAGGCAGGACCCCTTCTGTCAAGGGATGGGGAGGCCAGGAGAAAGGACTGCCAGGCCTAGCTAAAAGAATCCCCTCTTGCAGCCCATCATCCAACTAAGGAATTGGCATTCTGCTCCTTCAAAAGGGAAGAATCTCTTTCTCCTACTCCCGCAAGGAAAAGCACCGCTAAGGAGCACGGCCAGCTCCCAGTCACCACCCAGCAGTGCCCTGGCACGGCGGGGTCTCGAGCCCCGAAAGCTCACGGGGCTGTCCCTCAGCTATAACCAGTCACGGACATTTATTCTTTGAGGCTGCCGAGGGTCTCACCCTCTTCTCCCACAGGGATGGGAGCAGCCGCGGGCAGCACCTTCACCCCCTCCCCAGGGCCAGGCCCCGTCCGAGGGGCTCCTGGGACACCGCACGACAAAACCTCCACCGGGGGCCTCTGCCAGAGCCGAATTCGGTGAAATTCAAGGCTCGGAGATGCGGCACCCGAGGAAGGAGGCCAGGACGGAGCTCTCCCGGGGGCTGGCTCCGGCCTCGGGCCATGACCGCCCCGAACCTCCGGGTGCCGCGACCCGGTGCGGAGGGTGCTCGGTCCGTCCGTCCGTCCGCTCGTCCCCGGCTGTCCCCGCGGGCACGGAGCGGAGTCTGTGCCCGCAAGCCGCCAGCACAGGGACAGCCCGACACCGGCTGTGCCACACGCCGGACCTCGGCAGCGCGGGGCTGCGGTCCCGCGTCCCTGGCGTGCGGTGCCGGGCGCTGCCATGGCTGCGGGGCCCTCCCGGTCACCGACTGCTCCATCGGGAAACTTTTACCGCCGCATCCCGGGCGAGGACGGACAGCCCGGCCCTGCTCAGGCCGCGGCAGCCTCCAGGTGCCGGCCGGGACCCGCCGCGGCCCGCGGGGGCCGTTCCGCGGTCCCGGGAGGGGCCCCCGAGCCGCACCGGCCCCTCCGCGGGCCCGGCCAGCCCAGCTCAGCTCTCCTGGGGCCCGCCGCGGCTCCCGTCCCCTCCAAGGCACGGCCGGGCCGGCCCGGGGTCCGCCAGGTATCGGTGCTCGCCCCGCCGCCACCCGCCCGCCCTCAGCGCCCCCCGCCACGCACCGGCTGCTCCCGGCGCGGCGGCCGCGGCTCCTGCTGCTGCTGCTGCTGCCGATGCCGCCGCGGCTCGGCGGCTGCTGCTGCCTACGGGTCGCTGCCTGCCGGCATACCCGCGCACCGCTGGCATAATCCCCGGCGCGGGCGGGCCGGGCGCGGGCAGCTCCTCGCCCGCCGGCGCTGCCGCGGCGCGGGGACGGCGGAGGCGGGGGGAAGGCGAGGCGGGCGGGCCGCCGCAGCTGCGGGGGAGGAGGGAGCGGGAAAAGCGAAGAGCCCCGCTCTGGCACTGCCCTTGCCCTGCCGTGGCACGGCGGCCGTGCGGATTTACCCGCCGAGCCGAGCCCAGCCCAGCCGAGCCCCGCACACCGGCAGCACCGGGAGCCGCCACTTCCTTCCCCGCGCCGCTCCGCGCTCCCTCAGCCGGGCGGGCGGGCGGGGCGAGGGCGCCGCCTGCCGGCCGCGGCGGGGAGCGCGGGGCAGCGGGACCGCCCCGCCGTGCGGGGAAGGCGCGGGCGGCGCGGAGAGCGAGCGGGGAACGAGAGAGGAACGAGTGGGGAAAGAGCGGAGAAAGAGCGGGGAACGAGAGAGAGGGGAACGAGCGGGGATCCCCGGGGCTGGCACCGCCCTCCTCCGCTCGCCGCCCCGCGTCGGGCTCGTTGTCCCGCTCGCCGCCGGTCCCGGTGCCCGCAGGGAGGTAACGGCGCGTACCGAGCCCCAGCCCGCGCCCTGCCCTCACCTGCCCCCAGAGCAGCGCTGGTGACTCCTCGAATTTTATTGTCTACAAAGCTTAGCGGGGGAAAAAAAAAAATCTCAAAAAGTTCAGCGATTGTTTTATTCAGAAACTCAGAAAAGAAATTTACGGTGAAATTTACGATGAAACTGCGGTGAAATTTACCATGGCCTTTTAAACCTTTGTTAATTTCCTGCGGTTGTTTTTCACTCAGGATGCATCATCCCAGCCCTTCTTCCCTCTCTGCAAAGCCAAAACACTCGCAGTTTGTTTTGTAACTGTTCCTGCATTGCCACACCGAGTTGTAGTCCACGTTAGGAGGCAGATTATGCCTAAACCTATCACTGCTACAACTTCTTTAATTTGCTTTCTAGAGATGTGAACAAACAGAAATTTTATTTTCCAAAGTTTAAATCTCAGAGCTGGAGGAGTTGAAATGTTTATTATCATAGAGAAAACTCGGTATGGGAGTGTCTTGCAAGGACAGACTGAGGCAGAGGAGATCCTCGGGCTCCAGGCAGGACCTTGTAGGTGTGGAAAGGAGATAAATGCCAACATAGATGGGAAGTGTCAGGTGAGAACACGAGAGGAAGATGAGTAAAGTCCTCCAAAGAGGAAGCAAAAGCTTCTCTGGTTATCTGGAAATCCTTATGTGTCCTCAAAGAGAGAACAATGCAATATCCCCGTGTTAAGGGGAAGTTGAAAGGGGATTAAAAACAAAAGGACAATGTCCAGCAAAGGGCAGGGCCAGCACAATCCTGGCTCCCACAGTAAATGCTCCCCGTGTCCCAGTTTTTGGTGCTTCGGGTCTGATTTTCAGGAGCACTGAGCATTCAGGCCTCCCACTGATTTAATCTGGAACTGCAGAGCCTCTGCCCTCTGATGAATCAGGCCAAAGGCACCACACTGAACAGGTCACACAGATATTTGAGAAGGTTGGCCTAGAAGTTTACTAAAAGCAACACTTTTTCCACCCCCCTTCAGTGTTATAATAGAACAGAAATAGCCTAAAGAACTCCAACAGATGGAGGAGGACTTTTGATTAAAAAATAAATTCTGACTCACAATTCAGTTTTCTGGATGTAATAAAAAGGAGTCCATGAGTATGAATAGTGCTGGAGAGAATGGAGTGGAGATGAAGGGAGGTTACAAGGAGAGGCAGTAAAAGAGCTGAGCTGATTTACCTACTTGCCTCTAATGTCTGTCAGGAAAATTCTTTGGTTTTGCTGTAGCACTGATGAAAGAAAACAAGACCATTACTGGACTCATGAAATTTTCCTGTGATGGATTCCTTGGAAAAATCCCGCTGGCTGACTGGTATTTCTGAAGAATGATTTAAAATTGTACCTGTTAGTAACAAAATAGTGGGGAAACTGCAGCTGAATAGAGCTAAGCAGGGAAGTAAAGATTCTTTTTTTCCCCCCTCTCCCTCCCTTCTAAGTAAAAATTACCAGTAAGAACATGGAATGTTATCAGAATTGTACATCTCTTTGTGGAGACTGGAAATACTTTGGGGCAAATCCTTTCCAAGCATTCAGACCCAATTTCTGCATTTTAGAGTAAAGGGGAAAATGAGAAACTCCCATCCTTGACTTCTCCCCAGCTCTGATCTTGCACTGGAAGTACCCACAGGGCACAATGGGTTGCAAAAACAACAGAATTTTTTAAAAGACCATGCATGGGTTGGACAGCTCCTCATCAAATATCTTAAACCACAGCACTCTAATTTTAGAATCAGACCTTCTCAAGCTTCCTTTATGACAGCTATTCTGGCCCTATAATCACATCATTGGTGGCTAAACATCTTGAACAAGGACAGAATTTGAAACACACAATATGATTAAAACCTACATTATCGCTGATGTAATATCCCAGAGCCTATTACTGTACTTGGGCAGGAGGAAAGAATCTAATTAAACATTTATTTAATATTAAAATACAAACCAAAATATCAATGTTGGATAGTAATGCAACAACATGACAACTGGCAAATAAGTATTTTTTCACCGAGAAAAAATTGTTTATGTTCACAAATACATGAAATGTACACGAACAGAACACAGGCATGAAAGCCAGGCTGGCACATGGAACAGTAACTTCAGGAAAGGAATTCCAGTCCTGGAGTGCAGTTGTTCACTGGGAGACAGGAGGCTGCTGCCAGGTGAGTCCTGGTACTCACAGGATCAAAACAGCCCTCGCTGTGACTGCTGGCAGACATCAGATAAATCAGAGAAGGGTTTTCCTGCCCCAGCCAGCCATAGTGCAAGTATTGCTCACAGTTCTGTCACAATGAGAAACATCCATGTCAAAGGTTTAAATTAAAAGGATTTACCACAGAACAGTGGTTCTCTTCAACAACTCATGTTGCTTTTTGTATTAAAGTCCAAAATCTCCTCTTGGCTAATATTTACATCACACCATAAATATTTATAAAATGGTGGAGGAAAACCAAGTGCAAAAGGGTAACACTACCATTTTTCTCTGAAAACAAGCTGCCTTTTAGTTTCTTATTATAAATTGAATATCACTATTTAAAAATAATTAATATTTCTAAAAATATTACAATACAGGATAAACATTGATTTCTCAGGTGTAACAAAAATACGTTTAAAATAGAGGTGGCTGTTTGAAGTACAAAATATTGCTGCTTGTAAAGGGTAACATGGTTGCAAAACTACTTTTCAGGGTTTATAAAAATACAAAATAATTTGCATTTACTGAGTGCATCCTCATATATTAGTGCAAAAAAAAAAAGTATATTTGCAGTCAAAGATTTGCAGAGGTTCTTAAAACATGAAATCTTTTCAGAGTCATTCGTATTAACCCCAAATCTCTGTTAATTCTTTCCAAACGATCTTCCAGGGCTTCCTAAAAGGAAGAGTTAAAAGAAAGAACAAAAAAAGCATTAATAATATATCATAAAATCCAATACTCCTTCTAAAATTAGGAAACTGCTATCATTCCTATATTCCTGGTATCCTTTTTGAGGCCTTAGGAGCATTGTTATCACCCAAAATGCAGAGCCAGACCTACAAACTTGTCATGTTATTTTTATGTATTTGTTGGCTTTTTTAACACATGATTTACAAAACTCCATGAGAGAAACCTGACAAGAATTAGGACAGGCTGATAATTAGGGAGGCATATTTAGGGAACAGCTGATCCCTGTAGTGAGTAGCAGTATTGATTTACTGGAATGCACTTTTAATTTCATATTGACAAATTGATAAAACACCCTGGGATTACAATTTAGGAAATGCTGAAGTTGAATGCTTTGAAGAGACCTCTAAAAGACAAATTTGAGACTTTGTTTTTATTAAAAGAGTTTGCAGAGTTTTCCACAAAAAGCACTTCCCTGTATTCCACCCAAACCAGTTATTTTTACCTTCTTACTTTCTTCTTCGTACTTTCAAGGAGACAAAACCCCAACCAAACAAAAACTAAACTTTTCAATTTCTCCTACAGCACAACATCCTCTCTGGAGCTTCAGGGATCTATTTCATAGTCTCTGCATTTTGTTAATGCATTGCCTTTATCTCCCTCTCAGCATTAGCACAAGATTCTTGCAGTAATTTGGCAAAATGCATCCCATGTACAAAAAAATAGAAGATATTAAACAATATAAAACCATAACATTAAAAAAACAAAATTCCCACAGAGTAATCACATTTACTACCCAGAGGATCTTTCCTCTACATTATGTATTCTGCATTGTGGAAGAACAAAAGAGAGCAGTAATACAGAGAAGCTTTTTCACCTGATTTAGTCTTGCTTGCAAGGTCATTCTTCCACCAGAACAAGGGATTCGGCTCAGTGCAGCCTCAATCTAATAACAGAAAACACTTCAGCTGTAAATTAGTTTCAAGAGCCAATATGAGCCTCCCTAACTCCTCTTACAGAGAGGTGAGGTGTATGGATTACAGACAGAATGTAGTGTTTTGTTCTTTAACACAATACTACTGTGCCAACCCCCACCCACACTGTGTTTGTGTTACAGTGACTCTAATGAATTTAGGGACAGGGAAGGATAATGGCACATTCCTGACGTGACACTGAAGTTGTGGATGAATTTCAGCCATGCATTCCATGGATAAATGGCTCCATCCCTCACCTCTCATACAATAATTACAATTTGTCACAGCATGAAAACAAAAATTATCTTTGCCTGTTGCTTTTCATGAGTCAGCTCATCAAAAAGCCTCTCTGTTTCAGCCAGAGTTGTAATCCTTGCTGTGTACTTGAAGTCTTCCTCACAAGGTGATTGCTCTGCCTCGTATCTCTGGCTCCTCTCCTCCCAAGCTGCAGCTTTCTTCTTTCCATTACTGACAGATTCAGTACAGGAGCTGTGTCTGGCACCTGAATGCTGCCTTCCTATCAACAGAACAGGGGTCTTTTTATCTGTTTTGTAATTATCTGGGAAATTGTTACACAGGACAGAAAAAGAAACTAAGCACAGTGTGGTTTTGGAAGTGCATGGAGCGAGGAGAGGGACAAGCCCAGCTCAGTCACTTGCCTTGAACAGCTTCCCAAAGGAATGCAAAACATTTGTATGGGTCATCTTTCAAGAGATCTTTGAAACACAGCATATTTTTTGGTTAACAACCAGATTCCTGTGTTGTACTAATTAGGAATTACTTTTACTGGTACATTTCTAAATATCACCAAGCTGACTGGTTGTCATGCAAACACCAGTCTAAATAAGAGCATGGATAAAACCAAAAAGCAGAACATTGTGAGAAGGATTACAGTAATGAGAAAAGATCAATCATTTCAAAAAATCTGAAACAACTGGTTTTATTAGTTACTCTTTGCTGTCCATAATGCGATGTTTAGAAATAGAATTTTATTAGCATGACTCAGTGTGTATATCTTAATATAGACCCCACTAAGATATGCATTGGATAACTGAGTTAAGCACAGGGAAATGTATTTCCCTTCTTTCTCTATTTAATTATTTCTCTTGTTCCACTGTGTTTGTGCACACACACATATACATAAAAATAAAAGACTGTATGAACAGGATTTCTCTGTCTACAGGAATAAGGCAAGATTTAGAGGATTTTTAAAAGTTAGACTTCACAGAGTAAAGAGACTGTAGAAAGAATTGTGGTACAAAAATAAAGAACAGTTTCCCTCCATTTTGACAGATTACCTTCTACATCATCTAATGAGTGAAACTGGAGCCTTTTCCTTGGATTATTGTGCTGTAAAGTAGAAGTAGCACCAGTTTCCAGGTCATCTAGAAGTATATCAAATCTACAGAGCAGGAAGCACACAGCAATTACTTGTTAGAAGTCATGTAACAAGCAATACATTATTTTCTACTTTTTCATCTTTTGGTTGAATAAACAATTTATTATTTTTTTAGAAGAAGACTGTAAGTCTTCTAAATCCTGTTCAACCATTCTAGATTTTCCTTGACAGATTTTAAAAAGCACAACTTAGCTTCATATTCAGAAATCTTCACGACTCATTTTCAAGGACATTTAATGAACAAGAAACAGAAGTGTTAAACCTGGAAAAACATCCTGCTGCTCTAAAAATGATCAGAACACAACTGTATTCACCAGACTCATACCTTGTCACTGTGTTTTCATTTCTGCTGAGCAAATGGCTAAATCCAGGAGAGAGGTTTTCTTTTGGAGATCGTTTTGGGCTATATGTCACAGACACTGGTGCCAACATTATCTCTCTTCTTGCTGCAAAAGACAAAGTTTATCTACCTCAAACTCCCCAGTGCAGTACCTCCCACTCATGTGCTTGCAGCTTAAAAGAATACTCTTCAAAGCTGTCTACATGTTTATCTCAATTAGATGAGAAGTGCATCACAACATGGAAAAATGAAAATAAACTCAGAACTCTCACATATTCTGTCATTACAGACATGTCAGACTGCCAGAACAATGCAGATACCCTGTCCCTATTTTTCCACCTTCTAGGGCAGCCTTTCATGACTAAATTCTACTTTTTGAGTAACACAAAGCAAAGCTGAGAAAAGCACTGACTGGGAGTGTTGGATTTCCTGTTTGCAGGAGGAAGGGACGATGACCTCTGGCCACAGGGGGAGCTGAACCGTTTGGGTCTGTGCTGGTCTCTTCCTTTCTCTGGAGATCGGTTTGAAACCAAAGAAGTTTCAACAAACCCAACGGTCTGACGTCGAGTTGATGGTTCTAATTAAAAGAAAAGAAAAGAAAGCTGCTGTATTCATCAATTTTTTTCAATACAAGAACTCACAAATATTCCCCTGAACTGAGCTTCTTCTCCCTCACATCAATGCATTTGTGATGTTTTGCTCAAGTCTCTCTTCCTACTCATGGAACAGAAGTTTAACTCATGAAAAGGGACCTTTGCAGTGTGTGAGGGAGAAACGATGCTGAGTAACACTGTTAAATAGAGAAACTGTGGAAATCAAAAGGACAAAAGCATCTCTTGGCAAAGGCTGAAGGACCTGCCTGAGGCTCAGAATCCAAGCTTTTAGGAAAGACTCAGTGCTTTCCCCAAATCAGCGTTGTTACAACAGCTCAGGGCAGTCCCACTTCCTCAATTCCATTCCCATACAACACCATGGAAACTAAAATGGATGTACAGCAGCCAGAGCTTTGTTAGGACTCCATTAACTGTTTATAAATATTGAGATTTTCTTAGAAAAGGAGACATTAACTAGTCTTCAACTTAAGACCTAACAACAATCTCTGCGTTCCCCCTATTCTAAACAAATCTTGGATATTTAACTTTGAATTTTCTTAGGAGAACCTCACAAGTTTGCATGCTAAAACCATTTTTATCCTATCACTGAAGCCTGGTGGACTTGAATGCTGAGAATACCAAAGCCAAAAGACATGCAAACAAAGAAAAGCCAGTAAAGACATATTCAGGAATATAAAAACAAGAGTTACTAGCTGGTGCATCTTCTTTTTCTGTCTGTGTACCCCAATCTTTAAATATTTTTCCTTCTTCAAGTTCTTTAAAGGCTTTTATAATTGGTGCTTCTGACATCTCATTTTCTTTCTTTTCTATTGTGTTTGTTGAAGAATCTTCCTGTGAGGAGTCTTTCTCAGGAGGAGAATTGTGCCTTAAAGAATGTGAGGTGGTGGAAGGAAAAAAAGAAGATCAAGTTTTTTATTTTATTTTATTTCATATACCCAAACATGAACAGAATAAACAAAAACATGGTGAAATTTAGTTCAGATTTTAGTTTAGTTCAGATTTCAGAAACCAACTCACCTAGAAGGAATATAGGTTTCTTCCAGCCTGTTGTCTTTGGGGCTTTCCTGGCCCTCCAAAGGCTGCCCAGTGAAGATGGAATATTCAGCTCCTGGTATCAGCCACTTTCTCCTGCTGACATCAGGAGTTCCCAGCTTGCTGTGGGAATAAAAAGCTTCAAAATTATGAAAGGCTTTGGAGTTTGGGGGTTTTTTTTGTTTGTTTCTGTTTTGCTTTTTAAGAAAAACCTGTGATTTATTCCAATAAACAAATATACAGTAAACTTGTAAATATTGTGGAAAAAATAACTGCTTTTTAAAACACGTTTGTAAAGTAAAAATAGAATATTTGATGAAAAGAAAAAAAAACATATGTTGAGGTTTCAGTCTAAATTACACAATATGCTCAGAATGCAAAGCTCCACTAACATCTTCCTGTAATTTAATGCTGCTTACTCAGACCCAGGTTTGGGTTGCAAGTAGATCTCAACTAATTAAATGAAAACATTTGGTGGAGATTACTGCAGTAGTTCAGAGCATCTGATCCCAGCTTGCCTTTGGACAACTATTATTAGAAAAATAAAAAACAACAAAAACCAAGAAAAAGCCAGCATTGATGACCCAAGAGTGATAAACCTCAACTAATAAGCATCAATTAGTATATCATTATCTTGAGCTATCAAAAGAAAAATGTGATTTCTATACAAAAGAAAGCAGATAATTAGGAAAAAAGGGTCTTGTTTACCCAAGCTATGAACTATAGGCACCATTCTGTAAATTTATCCTGCTGGGCATTCAATTGGAATGAGGCTTTCCTTGAGCCTCTGGGATCAGTTAGGGACAGATTAACTTCTAAATCCATATTGGTTCTCACATCCCCCACTCCCTGATGAACATGCTCTGCCATGTCCAGGCCTTCTTTTTTCTATTCATTGTTGAAGGGTCTGGTTCATAAATACTAAAAGAGGTCCAAACAGAAATTCCTTTAATATATTAATATTAATAATAAATTATTTCTGTCTTTGTAATCATCAAAATTCAAATCTCCCCCAAGATACTCCTGTTCAATACATCCCAATGGGCTTTCCCCAAATCCCATTATTGGTCATTTTTCCACAGCATCTGTGCTGAAATGGGAGAGACACTGAACAGGCCATAACTGAGTAACAAAAACCAGAGGGGGACAAAGCTTTTCAGGCCTTTAAAATGTTAAAAAAAAAACCTCAAACAAAACCAGAGCACAGATCAACTTGAATTTCTTTAAAATAAATTCCCAATTCAAACCAGAGTTTGGACCTGGAACCAGAGCTTCCACTCTCCTTTCAGGTTACCTGCACAAAGTGCATTTAGAGCCATACTAAGCAGGAATCAGCCTTTCAAACCAATGAGAACAAAGAAAACCTCCAATGTCTCACTGGACTATCAGGCTCTATTCCCAAGATCTTAGTGGAGTGTGGGAATTCAGCTGAGCAGCTGAGACCTAGCAAACACTCATTTGAGAAGAGTAGGGACAGTTTGCCAAGTCACACATACATGAGCCAGAATATTTCTTTGGGTTTAATAATTTCTTGGCACATTCAATCTCTGGATTACATCACATGTGTTTAATCCAGTTCAGCCCATGGACTGACTTCATCTTGATCCATTTTTAGCCAAAACATGTTAAAAGCTATTCCAAAACACATTGTTTTCATGTCTGAATGTTCACTTACTTGGCACAAGAGGTTCTTAAACGATTTTCACTTATATGGCGAAGTTTCAGTGCATTTTCATGTTCCACCTGCTTGAGCTGAGCTTCAAGTTTTAAAATTGTCCTTAAAAAGATGCATTATGAAATTATTTAAATGGCATAAAAGACACATCACATTTCTTAATAGTTTTACTCATTTTTATTCAGATATTCTGGATGAAGAAGGAGAACAAGAGGAACTGCTACATTTCTGTCTATGCATCTCTATCTAAATATGAATAGAAATATGTATTTGAATTTAAAGTTAAATAAATCAGGTAATCTGGCCAGAAAGACAGGACCAGGTGACAGCACTGTGGAAGCACAGGAAGTAGAAAAAAATGCATAAATGCAAAAAAAATGCATATCCTAAATTAATGAGACTTTTTGTTTGTATCAGTAGCATGAAACAATATGAAATGTTTTATAAAATGTAATTAAACTTGAAAGATCTACAACCCTCACACTCTGGGAGTAGATGTTTAGGCCCCACTTTGTATTTCATATTGTTAAAACAATAATAAGATTCACAGTTACCTTTTCAAATCAGAAATCTCTGTGTTTGCATCAAGCAATTTGTTTTCAGTTGTATTTAATGTATCCTACAAGGATATAAAGAAAATTGTAAAAAGCCCAGACATTACAGAAGTGCATTAAATAAAACCCAAGTAACTCCACATCAGTCTTGAAAACAATACATCAATTACACCTTCCTATTTCAAAGGGTCCATTAAATTTCTTCAGCTTTGACTCTGCAGTATTTTTGCTGTCTATGACTGGAGAAAAACAGATTCCAGTTTCCTTCCTTTTCCCTCTAGGACTCTGAAGAAGGAAGTTATCAGTAAAGATAAATATGGATCTTTCTATTTGAGCTTTTTCAAAATATTTAAGTTAATTCAGCTAATTCCATGGAATTTTATCACCAAGTTTGCATGTCTGGGTTTTGAATTATCCACTGTGTGCCTACCTTTACTCTTTCATGTTCCTTTCCAAGGGACTCGTATTCTCCTAAAAGCTAAAACAAAACAAAAGAACACCAACCCACAGTGAGACCACAGTCAATTAACAGTTTTGTTGGCTGCTGGAAAATCATCTCAACAGCTTGGCTAACACATGTAGAAGCACTACAGGGGATACAAAATGTACTTTAATAGTATTTGTTAAGTTCCTCTTATCATCTTCTAATTGGAACAAAAAGTTATAGACAGGACAAGAGGAGACAGCTACCTACAGAATGTATTTCTGATTTTCAAATTATTTGTCTCTAAAGAAACTGAATGAATGAACCAGTAAAATCCCTCAGTGACTTTGAAATTTCAATTGTAAAAAAGAAGTTAAAGCGTGAAGCAGCTTCTCCAGCTAATACTCATTCTGCCAGTCCCTTTAAACATACCACAAAGCTCTTCCTGAAGAATCAAAGGAACAATTCCTTTGATTCAATCTAAAATCATACACAATCACAAGTTGGGATGAGGTATGAAAAGTTTGGTTCATCTCCAACAAGCTTAAGAGAGGAAAAATTAATTTCTAAAATAATTTCACCTAGTATCTTCAACTTAGAGTAATAAAATTCCTGAGACTATTGCAAGGGTTACCACATCAAGTACACACTTGCTACCTTAAATAATTGTTTTTAAATATATTTTAGGTCCACAGTGCCCCTCAACACCCAGCCTAGTAAGGAGTCAGCTGAGGAATTTCTGTTTTCTTGTTGTAAACTCAGGGACTTGCTGTCGTACCTCTGCCTATATTATCATCCATTTTCACACTCACATTTTGAAACATTTTGTTTTCCTCCTGGAGCCTGGTGTTTGTATTGTCAGATAACCTGTAAGATAACTTCTCAAAAGCCTCCTCCAGCTCCTTGAGCCTGGATTTCAGGCGGCTGATGGTGTTGTCCTTCTCCTTGTGGCTCGTGCGCATTTCCTCGAGCCGCTCCTGCAGCACTTTGGAATTGTCACTGATGGAATAGAAACGTTCTCTCCAATCTGCCTGCAGGACAGAAAATATTCTTTAGAATGTTTAAAACATTCTTATTCCCTGGTAGATTGTTTATTTCGGTTCAAAGAATTACCTTAAAATCACCTGCACAGAAAACAAAGGTACATCTGGACATGAACTAAACAAGGCTTTTTGCTCTTGATCTTTCTTTGATTTGGAAAGAATGAAAATGAAAACTAAAGCCAACAAAAATGTACTTATTTTATAGGATTTTAAATATCTAGAGGTAAAGCTCCCAATCCATCTGATTGACTTACTTCCCAGCATAGAAAAATGTCAAAAGAAGGCTGAATTAGTTCTCTGCAGGTGTCTAACTCTGATGACAAAGTGTTGAACATTCATGACAGAGTGTCCTGGTTTTTGACTAATAAACACAGCTATGCATTAATTTATGCACAAGCAAACAGCTTTTCTAGTTTTTCTAGCTAGAAAAACTGCAAATATACCTAAAGAGAGTATTTTTGCCCCAGCATAAGTAAGATTTCTTGTGTCACAGCTCTAGTAAGAAAGTAATTAAAACAAAAGAAATAAATTTAGAAAATTTAAAGAGAAACATGATAAACACATCACAGTATTTCATTTTGTTTGATCCCTGCTAAACTGGAAAAAAGTTTATGAGCAAAAGTGATGATGATTCAAGTAGAGAATCCTAAGAAACTCAGGCAGGAAAGTCACTGTGTAACATGGGCTGATGCTACATATTAAGGGAAAGGTTGAAAAGTTAAAAATTAAAAGAGATAAATATGAAAACACTGATCAGCTTATTAATGAAAAAGCTCATTCTTTTACCGTTTTACTTAAAAAGCAACTTGATTTAAGAACACATACTTACCACTTGCTTTTCTAGCAGGTTATTCTTATTTTCAAGGGCTTTTATTCGAGCACTTGCTTCATTCAGAGCTGCATCTAACTGCTCACACCTATTTAGAACATAGAGATTACACCAATCTCTTCAAGTTTTTAAATAATAAATCTCTATTTTATAGCCTTTTTTTCCTTCCTCAAGCATCCCTACGAATTTTGGTGCCCAGCCTGTGATCCCCTCCCACATTTTTCAGCCCCTGCAGTGTCTCTGCTCAGAAGAGCTGTGGTGGCCTGGGGTGAGAAGGAAACTGGGAACACACAGATTTTGTGCAGTATTTCAGCTATCTACATTTGCAATATGTGTTTTAACTGGCAATAATTATACAGAAATCACATCAATATTCTCTGTACAAACACTCAAGGTGTAGATAATGGGGCACACAGACTCCAGGGTAAAGTCAACAATGAACTCAGGACTGGTCCTGTGTCACCTGTGCCTGTGACATGGAAGGTACAGGAGGATGATGCTCACCAGCATGACAGGAGAGCACAATCTTCCAACACAAATCATTCCAGTACAAATTGCTCAGGAGTACCTCTGCCTGCCAGCCATTATTGAGGAAAGCTTGCACTGGCTCCAGAAAAAAGGGGTTAAACAAGAACTGTGGTCCAAACACCACATTTACTGTCTAACAATAGTGAACTGATCTTCACAGAAACATGGAACAGTTCGAGTTGGAAGGGACCTTAAAGTTCATCCAGTTCCAATCCCTCTGCCATGAGCATCTTCCACAAGATGAGGCAGCTCAGGACCCTGAGCTTAACCAGGGATGGGGCAGCCACAACTTAGCAACTGCATTAAATAATGCAAAATTTATATTTAACAGGGAAATATTTGTATCATAGATACATGAACTCTTCAGAAGTGAAGAGGGAAACTGTCCAAGATAGTCCAAACAAGAATACTCAGCCTTTAAAATATAAAGAGCACCATGTAAAGAGAAAGACAAGAAGGACAAGCAGTACCTGTCAGCAAGGCTTTGATTGATTTCCTTCAGGTCCTGAGATGCAGCAGTTCTGTGGCTTGACTCCAGCTGCTGTTTCAAGCTCTGTATCTCAGAGTCATAGTAAGCTCGTAGATCAGCAATGTGTCGAGCGTGTTTTTCCCTCAGGTTCTGCCTAATCCTAATTTCAATATAAGAATTAAAAAAAAATTCCAGCCATCCACATGACCATGCACTGCTGGATTCATCTGCACATAATGAACTCAGCATATAAATGTCTCTTGCAAAACTCTATTTGCATTTAAGCTAAAGCAAAGACAGCTTTGTCATCTAAGGCAGAGAAGTTTTAACATTAATAGAGATAGATATCATGATTATTATATACAAATAATGTATACAAACACAATATAAAGTTCTCCTTTTTTACAAGCCCTCACACATGGAATATATGCCCTTGTCTGCTTGTGCATGTGCAAATCAGAGCTTCAACAGTGAGTGGAGGATATTTATTTTTCCTAAGCACAGTAAATTCTGTGCTTCTCTGCATTTGATTCTAAAGAGGAAAATATTCCTCCCTCTGAACTTTGAAATTCTCTGCCTAAATGAACTCCCTCACACAGCCTATGAGGGAAGGATGTATTTCTATTTTTATGTATAAAGAGATCACATATTTTGTTTGGTTTACTACTATTGTTTCATTGCTTTCATGAAAGTACCAAACTTTTGACTTTTAAAAAAGGAAAAATCACTTACTTTGACATTACCACAGGATCTTCAACAGATGCCACTGAAAGGCTGTAATCTGGCAAACTGTTGTCAGCAGAGTGAGTAACAGAAGATGGAGTTAGAGTCAGTGTTTCTTCCTCCTCAGTGTTGACTGAATGATCATTGTCAGCATCCCTGTATGCCACTGGGAAGGGAGAGCTGGCCCTGTTTTCACTCTGGAATGGGTGATTTCTCCACAGGTCCAAGTGCACAGCTCTGCTGCTGGCAGGCTGTGTTGGAGAATCATCAAACTGAGATGAATGACTTGTCTGTGAAAAAGAGTCTGTGTCACAATGACTTGGAAATCCATGCTCTGCCATAGAGTCTGGAGAAAAGGGAGTGGAGTCTTCAGGAGTATTGAAAAAACAGCGTCCCTGGTTCTGCTGGCCTGGTTTCATATGCAGGGTTGGGTCCAATGTCAAGATCTAGGAAATAAGTTACAATGCTAAAAAAATGTGATTTAACTTCATTTACAAGAATAAAATTTATCTAAATACATCAGTAAGCCACATAACATACTGCAGGTAATATATTGAATATTATTACAATTATTTGGAAGTTACAAATAAAATGAAGGCACCTGTAACACAGAAATGACAATACACATTCCCAATAATTGCAACTTGAGTTTCTAATTTTATATTAATAAAGGACATATCCAAATCTGTACCTTTCTAGAAAACCTCTGAAATGTCAGTTATGCAACCTGAAGGACTATGATGTCTGTTTGTGTGTTGAAACAATAACTCTGCAGGGTTACAAAAGCACTTCATCAATTACCTAAATAAAATACAGTCACACAGCAGCCTCCATTACTGGGTTATGTACAGGACTGAGAGCTGTATAAAAAATAAATATGATAAAGAATCATTTCCACAACCTGTGCCTGTTCTGTTTCATGAGTGGAATGAATTTGTCCTGTGGGAAGCACTGGGAAAATCCTGCCACTGCAGTTCCACGTGCAGCTCAGCAGCTGCAGATCCGTGCCTGCAGCATCCTCAAGGTTGTGCAGCAAAGGTGCTCCTTGCTCAGGCTGTTCTCAGAGGTTCTTTCAAGCTGGATCCTTTCCCAAGCTGCTTCATCTCTGGGCTGCTCAAACTGCTGTTCCAGCCTAACACTGGAGGTGGCAGCAGGGCCCAAGCCATGTGTAACCAGCCCAACATATCCTCAACTGATCGGTGAAGTAAAGAAATGAATGTTACCTCTGGTGGGTGACTTGGCTGGGAAGGAGGCATAAAACTCTGGTCTGGCATCTGCTTGTTTTCCCTTTGTCTTTTATGATAAATATCCTTCAGTGATGACAACTTCCTTTCATCAGTAGAAGACAACTTCAACAGGCAAAATTGCTACATTAATTTTCTGAACACAATCCACTACCCCCAATTCAGGGGAGGGTCTAGCTAATAAAGCAGCTCAGAACAGGCAGCTTTATTCAATGCACCCAGCTAAAACAGAGTTTTAAACAAGGCACATACATCCTTAACATATTAGTGACTTCTCATCTCCTTTACAGTTTCTTTTGAATGACAAAAGGTCAGTAAATTCCACTTGAGGTTAGTGAGGTACAGGAATAATGAAGAGCCAGGGTAGAAGAGACTGAGATAATACAAGAGTTCTCACAGAGAATGTAACTTCTGGAGAGCTCCAGAAGGCAAACATCACATCTCCATCACAGGCAAACAGCAAAGACAAAAAGCAACTACATGACAACTTTTAAATATGTACAAAGTTTACCTGAACTGGTGATATTTTTGTGGAGAAAACACCAGGCAACTCACTTCTGAAATTCTCTGGTAAAGTGTGATACATCTCCTTTTCATCTAACTTCCAGTATGAAAGTCCTGATAAGAAAAAATACCAAAAGAAAATTAAATCTACAGATTTCAAGCTCGCAGCTCTAGAACAGGAATCCAAAATCCATTAATAAAATGTTATTTTGTCAGTAACAAGAATGCTGTATTAGTTATTTGCATCTACTGCTTAAGGATATCATTAGAGCATTTGTTACCAGGCCAGGAGTTACAAAAATCTCAATGCAAAGCACAGGCAGCATAATCACTCACATCACACAGAACCAGCAACAAAAGCTATAAATCAATTAAAACACACGGATTTGGTGTTCAAGGGGCAAACCCTCATTTACCACAAAGTTCCAGTTCTCATGATTCCAGTGTAGCACTTCAAACTGGTACCACCCAAGGAATAATCCCAGGCAGCCACCTGACATTACAAACTCTCCAGTTTGTGCAGCACTCTGTAGCATGCAAGGATAAACTACCAGGACTAAGAGGGATGGCACAAGAGGAACAGACACAGCCTCAATCCCACTTCAATTTCTTAAATGTGTCCCTCTCTCAGTGGCTTGTGAAGAAGCAATAATTATACACAGTTTGCAGGGCTGCATCTCTGTGCCCCTGTTTGTTACTGAAATGAATCCACCCTGTTATGATCAAAATATGTGAATTAGAAGTCTGGCTTTGATTAAAAAAAAACAATAATCACAACCTCCAAACCCATGCAAATCCACCACCAACCACCCCTCATATACATCCCCAAAACAACAAAGCCAAACCTTACCAAAACACAACAAAGCAACCATCCCCCCAAAATTAAAAATCACTATGTTATACATTACATTCTTTTGTTCTTGTCTATTTACACAATTACTGAATCATGCCCTTGGCTTAAAGGAATTCTGCCTCTGTTACCATGAACTCCTGTAATTACCACACCATTGAGCTAATATTTGATATCCTACCATGATATTAACAGTAATTCCATTATGAAACAGTTTTAAACACAAAGTTTAGCTTCGAAATGCTGAGAAATTTGGAAAAAATCCCACCTGCTGCATGTCCTACATCTGCCAGCAGTGATACACAGAAGCTGCCATCAATTTGAAAACAGGAGCAAGAAGCAGAATTAATGCTATAGCAAAGCCTGTCAGTGCTTAAATCCTCCTCACCTCCCTGAAGTTATTGGAGATGCATTCCAGTAAGAGTTTTAAAAATGAGAATTCAAAAGAAAGGGAATTTAAGTACAGGAAATTAACTATACCTGAAGCTTCTGACACTACAGAATTCGGACTTTCCTTGGGTTGATTGAGGTAAAAAGTGTATGGTGGCAAAGCAGCATCAGTAAGGTTTGTCTAAAATTACAGTGGTAAAACAAATTCAGAAAGAAAATCACAAAGCAAGGGGAAAAAAGCACACGGGTATAATGTTTAAAAATTGCATATAAATGTTGCTAGTCTTTTTAAGCAAGGAGATTTAATACAATTATACAGCATGACCCAAACCTACAGAATTTATATAGCCAAAAGTGGAACTAAGCTAAGCTACATAATCAAACTGCTATTTCCTAAGAAATGTGCCTTTATTTTCATCCTGAGCAAAGTGATTAATGCCTTAACACATAAAGAATCCTGTGTGCCAGAAGAGGCATCATGACCTGAAATCAAAGATCCTTCAAAAATTACAGGGCATAATAAATTACCAGGAGCTGAAGCCTCAGGTGAGTGTGGTCATTATCTCTTCAAGGAGAGAACATGTGCCACTCAGGCAGGTGTTAAGACAAAAATTAAGTAATTAATAAAATAAGCCAAAATAGCTCTGTGCCTAAGTATGGAATGATCCAAGAAGCAAACTTTGCCCACACAAACTTTAAATATGTGAATGGGAACTCAAATGCTTAAAATATGAAAGTATATGCTGAATGAGAACATGCTGTTACCTCCAAAAAAATACCAGTTACAAGAATAGCATTAGAAAAACACAATGAAATAAAACAAGACTTACATTCTCAAGTGGTAATCTCTTCATTCTCTCATTTTCTTGCATAGAGTTCACACATACTTCATCTGCAGTTACTCTTTTTGGTTGGGTTTGTTTCAACTTTTGTGCCCATGATGTTAAAGATTTGCTAGACAGTAAGAAACACACACATACACCTTAAGGTATTTCCCCTAAATATATCTACAACAGTTAAACATTGGAAATGCAGACCTGCATCGTTGAGAAGCATCAGGCTAAATAAATACATTTATCTATCAAGCAGCAGAACATCAAGAGGTTCTACTCAACTCAAACATGTTCCCAGCTTTTACTGAATGGGGATTGTCTATAATAAATTAACATATTTGGAAAGTTTATCACTTGCCTGGGTTTTTTCCCACGTTGATGATCTTCATCAGCTTTATGTTCACACCCAGCGGGAAACACTAAAACATCACTCCTTCCCAAAGAACGATTTTCCTCTGGTTTTTTTGCTGCAAGTTCTCTTTTATTTTGAGCACAGTGTGCATGCCCGTGCAGCCCAGCCCCGTGGGGCGTTTGCTCCGTGCAGTCTGTGCCGGGCTGGGCAGGGCTCAGCTCCGAGGTGGACAAGGAGCCGTAGCCGCTGTTCATGGAGGCCTCGCTGCCCGCACATTCCTGCTGCACCTCGGGGGCCTCGGGCTGAGCTTCCCCTTCGCTGCATCTCAGCTGGCTCACGAGGCTCTCCTGCTCCTCAAACGCCTCCGAGCGCATCCCCATGGGGCTCGGCACAGAGGGGAAGGTGTTGGTGAGCAAAGCCCGGCCCCTGCCGCTGCCCCGGGTGCTGCTCTGTAACCTCACCAGCTGCTTTATCTCATCCTGAATCAGCTGCACAGGGGGGAAAGGCACAATTCCCGTGAGATTCCTGCCATAAATCACAGCCCTACCTTGATGCAGCTTCGATTCGTGTTATTAGAGTATTTATTCCGTATAACTCCCAAGTTTTCATGTGCAGACATCTCATGCATAAAGTAGATAAATACATACTGTGCATAACAGTAAAATGTCCATGGGAACAATCCTGAATTCCATGCAGTGAATTACGAGTCTCAGTAGTCATTTATTCATGTAAAAAGCATGCATGAATGTATCCACTAATTGCCCTCAGAACTGTAGTTACATACCAACCAGCTAAAGAAATACAAACTATCCAGGTGCTTGGCTAAATCTGGGTCTGAAACATTGTTTCACTTGGATATACATTTTTAAAGATTGCAAGGATGCTTTAATGGAAGTATTAATCATTACTCTATTATGAGAATAGGAATAATGTACCTCTGCAAGATTATTGCATAAAACTGGACTTGAAAAAACTCAATTTAGATATTCTGCTGTTAGGTTCATATGGTACAAAGTTCTACCTTTTGATTGTTTTGGTGTCTGATGGAGTGGAGCAAACCCATAACTGGCTCACTACATTTACTCTTTATTCTACAGTGTCTGACAAGACTTATTTCAGTATATTAGGTAAGTAATTTTTTTAAGTTCTAAGTTTTACAGTTGTGCACTGGCAATACTGAAACAGCTCTTAGAAATAATTAATGCTTTTGCCAAGGGCTGTGAAGAGATTTCACATTTGTGCCTGTGGCCAGCACTTCTGAAGAGTTCAATTGAGATTACTGAACTGCAGGAGCACACAACTCTTGCTCACGACAAGACAGAGCATAGAATTGTTTTCAAGAATATATTTCAAACTAATTCCCCCAGGAAAGAAAGAAGAAAAAAACTTGCAATAATTTTAAGAACATGGAACTCATGTTTTTTCACAGAACTACAGTACATCACTCACATGTGAATAGCAACTGGAGAGCACAAATTGAACAAAAATGATTTATTCTCTCAAAGTAAGAAATAAAAAAGAAGACTTAATTTCAGAGGAACCTACATGATTTTTGATTAACTTGAAATAGAACAAAGAATCGAATTTCAGTTCAGCCTTTCTCTGCCAAAAATAATAAACAAATATCTTGGGATGAAGTTTCCTTCCACTACAAAGTTTTGTGTTCTGCTAATGATTTCGATCATGACTGCAGCAATCATTTGTATTTTAACTCTGTCAGGAAGGTAAGGAAGGGAGAACAGAAGGGAAAGAACAGAACTGGAGTGGGGGGAAGAAGATCAGATTCACTGCTGACATTTAATCTTTGTCATTAATACCCTGTGCAGGAAAAGTGAAAGGCTCCTATCCCAATTAAATTGCATTTTTACTTCTTTTTGCATAGTCACAAATAACTGCAAGAGATTAAAAAAAATTGGGAAAAAATAAGATGTGCTTTCTACAGTTTTGGGATAAAGTCTGATGTTGGGATGATCCATAGCTAGTGACAGCTTGTCCCTGGCACAGTTATCTTTTATGGTATAGATCACATAAGCCAAGGGCTGACCCCACTGATTCCAAAAGGAACTCAAGGTCTTTTTATCCCTAATCTCACAAGGATGGAGATTTTTACAAGCACAGTTGGTCTTGAAACCCAGCATGGAGCAAACCTCTTGTCAGAATCATGTCAGTGCTGATGCAGCACCTTGCTTTTCTTCCACAAAAAAAAAAAAGTAGATTATTATTATTTTTGTGTCTTTTTATTACTCTCACTAGAATGTGTTGAGTTGCCTGTGTTTCAGTGTTTTTCACTATGTCACTGGCACAGCAGTTTAAGTTTGGAATAGCTCCATCTATTTCACTGAATGCATTCACACAGCTCAGGTACAGCTGTTGATTTTGTATTTAGTGTGGCAACCCATACAGTGAGTGAGTCCCTGCTGACACCACACCCTCAGCTCTTCCAGAGGTGCCTTTCCTATTAAAAAAAAAAAAGACAAAAACCAGCAAAGCCAACACAATGGATTAGTAAAGACTATGATCAGCAACAAGTGAATCAAACCACTACAGTAAGAGGAAGGAAAAACGAGGGGAAGGAAACATGAAAATAACAAATGGGAGGGAGGGGGGGAAGGTGGGGAGGTGAGGCAGGAGAAACAGGATAAAAGGACAGTACCTCAGTAATTCAGTTCAGGAACTGTTGGTTACTACTAGTGTGGAGGGCATCAGGAAAGGGAAGGGAAAAACAGCAACCAAAATGATGAAGATATTAAGCATTATATATTTATAGTATTACTTGTTTTATATATATATATATATATATACATTTCTTCTGTTCTAATGGACAAACAGAGTTCAGCAAAAATATGAACCTTCACATGGGTTATTTTTCATTCTTAGAAAAGAAACTGCTCAACTGAAGGTGAAATAGGTGTTCAGCTATTACAGTGATGGTTTTCCTGGGCTTTATACTGTCTGGATGAGGGGAGGATAAGTTGTATAACACTTTTTTTAATGAAAAGAAAGCTATATTGTCTCAAAACCGGAAATTATACAGTCTAACAGTTAATAAAAATCTTGTACCTACAAAATCTCATTATCATGTGAGCATTCTGAACCAAACGTTTGTGAAAACAAAATAATTGAAAACAATCCACAAATCACTCCTGAAATGGTTCCTAACAGTTGATTGTTAATTAGCCAAGGCTGTCTCAAATATGCATCCTATAAACAGTACTTCAATGATCCACTTCCATTAACTGCCTCTCTGCATTGTTTTGGAGGAGTGTGGAGTTGGAGGGAGAAAAAAAAAAATCATTCAGCCTTATCTAGCTCCATGAACAGTCATTCCTTACCTGGATTTGATGGTGGAACTGCTCTTGCTGGGCATTTATTTGTTCCTGGCATTGTTTTTCTACCAGTCTCAGTAGCTGTAGCCACCTTGTCTATTAAATCACAAAGTAAAATAATTAAAACACTGAAATACTGCACCTCTTACCTTTTTTTCTGGCTACAGATAGTTTTGCAATCCTATCCTTGGTTGTTGACATAATACAAAGTTGAGTAACAGCACTGGGGGGTGTTGCCCACCCCACAGTACATTCAGCCCCCACCATGCCAATCAATGGAAACTAAAAGTAGGAACAGCTGCCAGCAGAGAACAGGCAAATTCTGGAAAGGTTGATTCCAGTTCCAATAGTTATAAGCAATTCTAAAATTGAGAATTAAACACCCTTCTGTCCATCCACTTCAGTAAGAAACTCCTCCCCTCAGCAATCCAGCTAAAGGCCATGATGCATAATTACGTCATTGAAACCAAGAGACAATCTTTAAAAAAATCAAATAAACAGCATTCCTGAAACATGGCAAAATCTGATGTTTAAAAACTATTTTATGCTAATGTTTATGGAGCCTGTGCTTGAAGCACAGGACACGGGACACAGACATCAATATTCTGTTCCTGGAGGTGTTAAAGAGAACCCAAATTAAGCATCTGTCAACACACACTTGGATGGATCCCAGCCAGGAAGCTCAAAAATCTGCAAGAACAAGGCCATGGTGTGGAAAACTGATGTTCCTTATGATCACTAAAAATAATAAAATTTAAAATACAAAGGGACAAAAAAGTTCAAGAAAGTATTTGAGAGAATTAGTTCATTGAAACCACATCATTATTTTTGTGTTGGTTTAAATCTGGAAACAAACTAATCACCTACACATCTTTACAAATGGATTATATAAATAAGTCAAGCAAAACAGAACCATTTTTAGAAAAAAAACTTTTAATTTCTAGGATCAGTTCACACCAGTTTTCTGTGATACAGTTTTAATGGTTTAAATTTTTTAGTTCAAAAACTTGCTATCTGTATTGTAACTTTGGGAAAAAATATTCAGATCTGTATTATAAAACACCAAGATATGAAGACAAAATGGCAGTAAAATCCAGCAGGTGATCAGTTCATTTACTGTAAAAGGATCTGTCTCATCATTAAGAATAAATACAGATCTTGCTGCTGAATTTTATCATTAGATTTGTCTTCCAAAATGCAAAGCATATGCATTAATAAATAAATTATTTTTTTTTAAATAAACTTTAATATCAAATACCTCACAGTTCCTCACAATTTCTGAGTCAGCATGTCCAATGTTCTGGATATCTTGCATAAAGGAGGCAAGCAGCTCAACAGAAGCAGGCTTTAATGAGGACCTGGTATTCCCTGAGTAACCAGAAACTCCATTGGGACTGGATGAAGAACTTCTAGTGAAACACAAGGAAAAACAGTTCAATTATTTATTGTGTCAGGTGTGCAACACAGTGGCCCAAACAATACACCACATATGCTAGACTGCCAGAAGAGAATTATACACTCTATTTACATCAGGACTCTCATCATGTTGAAATAAAATTTTCACATTAATATCAGTATTACTGTGAAGGCATGCTAATGAAGCAGAACCAAAATAAAAGTATTTGTTAGTGATTCCTTCAGCACATTACCTGTTAGAATTCAAGTTCCAGACAGAGCTGTGGGTGTTTCTGACATCAGAGTCTGCAGAGGATGAAGGGGTTTCTTGTCCAGAATTCACCACATCCCTGCTTTCCATATCTTAGTCCCAAGTATGGCATTACCCTGAAAAACAGATAGAAATAAGCATCACCCTCCTTCTTTAAAAAAAAAACATTTCATTTCATTGTGTGAAGAAACAGAATTGGAATTGAAGAGACAGTTGTGTCAGCCAAACCACTCCAGAAAGTGCAAATATTTCACAGCCAGGCTCCCTCCATTCTCCTGTGCCAGCCCTGCAAACAGGTGCTGCTCACTCAGCCTTGTGCCTGCTGGGCCTCCCAAAACTCCAAGAGATTCCAAACACATCCACACCGGGCTGGAAACGATGTCTGAATGCAAAATATTCCACCTAAAACCGTGTTGTCGAGGTCTGGTTGGTTGTTTTTTTTTTTTTTTTAATTTTGGGGCTCCACAGACCATGTGTAAGGTGTGAAATCTCCTATTATTGATGTATTTAGATGTGATTGAGGATCTGAACCTTCACTGGAAGAAACACACTTGCCAAAAATAATAAAACTGAGACTGAGTTAGACAGGTCAACAACTTCTGCTGCTCCTATGTGTAATATTTGGCTCACTTTTTTCACAGATGACTTTTTTCATTGTTATTATGTAACATTAAATCAGAAAGCTTTGAAATTGAGCTACATTTCTGACCAATTAATAAAACAAAAAAAAAAAAAAAGGAGTCAAACAGGAATCCTGAAACAGCAGCTGGCTAACTGAAAACATCATAAATAAATAAATACACAATACTTGGGCCACAGTCTTACAGCACTCAAAGCAGACTGGCTATAGAGAGATTAAATATTCTTCCAGTTTGCATACTTTCACTAAGAAAACCCCTGAAATACATTAATTAATCAGTTCTTATATAGGGCTTATTTCAGCACGTTCTGCACCCTCGTGAATTCAGCCTGTGTTCTAACACTGAAGAAAAACCTTATGATCATTTTATGGATGGAGAGTAAAAAGAGACATTAAGAAATAAAAACTCAGTAGTCTGATAATGCTAAAAATAAATTTCTGCTGCCTTAAAGAAGCATAACACCTCCAAATCACGACTATTCCCCTTTACAGGGCTTACCAAGACATGCTGATGAGTTTTACAAATTTAAGCTTTCATTATTTGCAAGTTGTTGGACATAGATCCCTAAGAGTTTCAGAAGCATCAAATATTTTCACCAGAAGGAAACTAATGGACAACTGCCCTACTTCTCCCTGTTTTACTGGAGACTGCTTGGCTTTAGCAGAAATGTCTTTTGAGTACTCACTCACTATGTCCTCTGGGTAGGGCTGAAAATGCCAGAATTGGAAGAAAGTTATCACAGACACACACATCCCTCTGGGAGAGCTTCTTGGGATAAAGAAAAGAAAAAGAAAAACACGGCTTTCTTCTTTTCCTAGAGGTCAGAAGTCTGCAAAACTTGGAGGTTATCAGGCCACTAAGGTGGCAGCTAAAGCTGAGGCTGGGAGAGTCACTGGAGCATCGAAATCACCCCGAATCCCCAGGATGGAATCATGGGTGGCCTATCTCAGCAGCACAGCAAATGGGTGGGACTTAGCAGTGACACAGGCTCGTTTCATAACCTCATTAGAAGTCTGTTCTCGATAAAAAAAATATTAGCGAGCTGTAACTGTGCTGCGGGAGCGCTGTCATCCATCGAGCCCACAGCACAGCGCGGTCCTTATACGGCCACGTAGCCGCAGAAAAGGACACGGTTGGGGAAAAAAAACAAGCTGCGAGATGTTTTTAACTCAGAAATATCGGCGCTGATGTCGATACAAACGCCGGAGCCAGCGCAGACACACAAACCGTGAGGTTCTGCATCGCTCCTGAGCCAGACCCCATTCCTTCCCAGCCCTCGCAGGTCCCTAAGCGGTGACAGGGCCCCCCGCTGCCAGGGCCCCATCTCCCCACGGCCTTTGAGGGACCCCCAGAAGGGACAACGAGTCCCGGGGCTGCAGCGCCCCAGGCTGTCCTCAGGAGCCGCCCGGGCCTCGAGGGCTCAGCCCCCGCACGGACCCCTCTGGTCACGTCTGCCCCCTCGGGGCCGCCTCCCCTCAGTCCGTGACCCCTTCCCCGGCTCCGTGCGCGCTCCGTCCGCTGTCCCCAGGCCCCTCACATGTCGCCCCTCACATGTCACCCCTCACATGTCACCCCTCACTCGGCGCGGCCCCTCCACGGTCCTGTCCCTGCACCAGCGCCCCCTTCGCCCCGCTCAGGCCAAGCCCCGCCCCCTCGCTCTCATTGGGCAGCCGCTCCTCGCGCTCCACTATGTTGACAGCGCCGCTGCCTCCCATTGGCTGCAGCACCTGTCACTCTATGCGGAAAGGGGCGGCGCGCCGGGGGCGGCCTCGCGGCTCCGGGCGCGGGGACCCGGCCAAGCGCAGCGGCGCTGGCTCCGGCGGCTACCCGAGGACCCGCTCGCTTTCATACCCGCATCGCTGGGAGCCCACGGCGCCCGGCAGCCGCCTCCTCCCGCGGCCGTGAGGCGATGAAAACGCGCCGCTCTGCGCCGCCCTCCCGGCGAGCGGCGACCGAGAGTTTGGAACGTGTGGCCGGGGGTAGAGGGCGCTCCGCACTGAGCCCGGCCCCGTGATTGGCCGCCTCGAGCGCGCGCCAGCCCGCGCCTCCCGCGCTGATTCGCTGCGCGGCAAAGCCCGCGCGCCGCCGCCAGAGGATTGGCGCGCGCCGCCGCGCCGTTCCCGGAGAGAGCCGATTGGAGAGCGAGCGAAAATTCCCGCCCATCTCGCGCAGCGATTGGCTGTCCCACACGCCAATCATCCTAGCAGCACCGCCCTTCCCGCGGAGTGCGCATGCGCGGTGCGGCGGTCCCGGCGGAGGTGAGCGGGGCCGGGGGGCGGCCCGGGTTCCAGTCTCCGTTCTCCGTTCTCTGTTCTCAGTTCTCCGTTGCCCTCGGGCCGGGCTCCGGTCTCGGTTCTCGGCTTCCCTTGGGCCGGTCCGCCCCGCTGGGACCGCCCTCCGAGCCTGACCCCAGCCCGCGGGACTGGCACCAGCCAGGGGGAGCCGCGGTGCAGAGGGAAATCGAATAAATTCTCCGGTATCTTCTGTGTTTCCTCCTGCTTTAGGGCTGTAGTGTCCCACAGCAGGAGTAGGCTGAGAGGGATCGTGATTTTTTTAACCTTATCAAGAGTTTTCCTTCCTGGTTTCAAAACGGTTTTCTGTAAGTGGGTAGAGCTGTTAAATAAAGGCTCGTTCAGAACTAGCCAGAAGTGCTGCTTGTTTTTCTGCATGTATTCTTCATTTTAAAATGCTACTAACTTCTGTAGCGCCTGCCAATTAAAGTTTTGTTTTAATTGTTTTTTAATTCCAACAGTTACGTTCAAATTTTCTGTTTATTGCCAAGTGGCACTGAAGTATTTTCATCTGAGTCAAATAAAGTATTTCAGGCATAACAGCATGTACCGTTTTAGTTGCTTATCTAATGTCTTGCTGAAGACTGACACTTGACAGGAGTAGGAGCTGACATTCCTCATTATCCATGAGGAAAATGCACACTTCCAGGCATACCTTTGTGCCTTTGTTAATAATCTTGTTAATACCTTGACCTGGGAAAAATCGGGTTCCCAGTGAGACTGTACAGGTCAGATTGCAAGACTGAAATAACCTCTTTTTCCTCCGTTGTTTTGTTTCTTGCTTTTTATATGTTTAGTATTTTCTGAGTGTTGGCAGGAGTATTCTTTTATTTGCTGTTTTCCAGATCCCTTTCAAAATATTTTAAGAAACTAAAATACATTGAGAACCAAAATTCTATTCAGCGTGGTAAATATTTCAAGGCAAATGCCTATGAAACCAGTTCAGATAACCTTGAAAATAAATCTGAATATTGAAATACTGCTCAATATGTGCAACTAAAGCAGCTCACCTTAAAACAAGTATTCTCATGGTAAACTCCACTCTCCCATTTCATTCCAGGTTTTGTTCCAGAGAAGCTGTGTCCTATTTCTGTATGAATGTTCCGAGTTTATTTCATTTTGCATTCTTACTGAGGGGGGTGCAAACACCATCATGGACTCGATGGATTTTGAGGAAGCAGCAGCTCTCTCTGCCCAGTGTTCCCTTGCTTCAGGCAGAAAGAAAAAGGAACTCTCTGGATCTCCTTGAACTAAGTGAGGCAGAATTAGAAGAACAGTTTGTAAGAGGTGATGGTCCAGGAGGTCAAGCCACAAATAAAACAAACAACTGTGTTGTCCTGAAGCATATTCCATCTGGGATTGTAGTGAAGGTAATTGTGTCTTATTTTATTTTATTGAGTCACAAATTGTTTCAGGACTTCCAAGTCTCCTTTCAGAATAAAGCATAATCACAGTGCAGGTAGCATTGAGGAAAAGTTTATATATTTATATATATATGTATGTATGTATATATTGTAAAGAGTCTCAGCAAGAAGCAGTCTTGGCTGTCAGCAGATAAATAAAATTGGGGTCAGAGCTGCATTTCCTGTCTTTGCCACTCAGTTACAGTTTTGTAGTTTTCTGTTAAATGAATGTTCATTGTAGCTGCTGTTTGGTGGCAGCTGTCATTCCTGTCCCTCATGTCAGTTAGAATCTCTTCCTTAGCAAGTTGATCACACTCATTCTACAGATCCTTTTTAAGTATTTCTCTTACCTACTTCTTGTGGATTAAAACCTTGAAATTAATCTTTGCTTCCTGTCACAAGGGGAAGACACAGTTAAGTTAAATTCTAGCAGCTTTCCAAGGTAAGATGGGAAGCATTAAGGATTAATGCAAAAGCCAGTCTGATGAATTACAGTAGCAAATAATTATTAAAACATATCATCTGGATTTAAAAGTTGCAGTTGTTATTGGTGGCAGGATGCTCATGGCTTGGGAAGGAGGGGGTTTTCTTTACTGTAATGGTAGGAATATATGGCCTGAAAGGGAAAGCTGAAAAATAAACAGGTTAAAGTTTCAGTAAAAATGTCCTTTGTATTTCTTCAGTGTCATCAGACAAGATCAGTGGAGAAGAACCGAAAGCTTGCCAGAGAAATCCTGCAGGAAAAAGTTGACCTTTTCTACAAAGGCGAAGACAGTGATGTTTTTAAAGAGAAGAAAGCAGCAGAGAAGCAAAAACAGGAGAAAAAAAGAAGAGCAAAGGAAAACCTAGAAAGGAAAAAGCTTTTTAAAGAAATGCAACAATTGGATAAGGAATAAACATGTGAAATACTGACTTGCCCTAGCAGGGTAAGAGAATTGTTTGTCATTAAACCCAAACAATTTAACAAATGATGCAGGGCTTCATAAGCACAGCTGAAACCCTGGTGCTGACCTGCTGTTCCTGTAAAGCTGAGGAGATAAAAGCACTCATGTACTCCTGCTTCTCCCTGCCATCATCTCATTAATCACATTTAGCAATCAGTTTTTCTGCCAAGTTCAGGAGATAAAAGAATCCTTGTTACGGAGGAGCTATAAGCTTTCCACCATTGTTAGCACAGACCAAAAAAAATCAATAGATTTCCTTCTGTGCAGATGACACCTTGGCTGCTTCATGGGAGCTCCAGCACATGAGAACAGCCCTAAAAGGTTCTCACTTCCCATCCTTACTCAGGCAGTGCCTTCAGTGACATAAATCCTTTACAAACTGTGACCAGCTTTGGATACTGGTTGTGATGGTGTGAACTGAGCTGCTGATGGAAGAGACACCAGTCACTGGTTCAGATGAATAAAGTTTAAACAGCAGCTTTCCAGATCTTACCTGGGGTGGTGCTGAGCACTGGGGCACAGGGAGGGCTCTCCTGCAGGTGAGGGATGGTCACTCATGGCCCTTCAGTTCAGGGGTAAAACTGAGTCATTACAGATAAAAAATGACCTGTCTTTGAAGCTGCCTCCCAAGGCAACAGAGTCCAGTTCATCCAAGCTGTGAATTAATTAATTAGAGTTGTTTATTAAGTTGATGCTGTGCTGCAGTTCAGCTTGGCCATGTTGGTACCTTCACTCATTTTGACAGTTTCCCATTTTATTGGAACAAATGTAGCTGTGTTTGCTTTGTCACATTACTCTGAAGCCACTCCTGAAGTACGTTTTTCCTGGTTTTATCCTGTTAACAACTCCAGCAGCTTAACCAGAACTTTTCTTTCACCTTTGGACAGCACCCTCACCAGCTGCCACCGTGTTTTGGCCTTCAATGAAGACCCAAAGCCAGAGTATGGATTTTGAAGGCAACAGAGAGTTCTGGAACTTCACTTTCTTGTCCCAGAGACTGACTGCACCATGTGCCGTGGATGGAGTGCTCCAGCAATCTGCATTCCCCTTCTTTGTCCTTTCCTAAACTCCTGCATGAAGGTTAAATTTTTATCTGTTGACAGGTTTTGCTCCTGGAGTATGAATCTGATTAAAGTGACTGTACATACTTTTAATACAAACTGTTAATGAAAATAAGCTTTATTACGTCAAGTAATAAATACATACAAAGATGCAAATAACAGTTTTAGTATTCATCCAGAGTGTTTCTTTTTCTTTTTTTTTTTTTTTTTGCAAACTTTAAACTGAAATCTCCAGCCTTAATGTAGAAATTAGCTTTCCAGGACCTTGTTATTATTTAATAGGTTTCCCTATTTTCCATATAGCTCATGCACTTTAAGTGGACTTCAAAGCACTAACAGTCATGCAAATGTTTATGCAAAATGAACAAAAAAAGGAAAAATAAGAGAAGGGGAAGGTTATTTCTAAGCAGGGTCTATGCTGTATGACAAATTGTGACTTAGCAGACTACTAGGTACAGCATGCTATTCTGCATTTATTAAAAAAAAAATCCTTAGAGCTTATGTCAAACTTTGAAAGATTGACGTTTTGGGGATAAGTGAACATAGTCAAAGGAAAAAGAAAAAAACAGAATGAGGCTGTGGCTGGATAAAAAGAGAACTGAAATAGAGCCTGGGAGAGAAAGAGCATTCCTCTGCATGCACTTCAGTTTCCATGTTCTAGAAACATTTTAGGGAGTTTTGACGTCTTTAGAAAATGCAAACCCTCAGTAAGTTGAAAAATCCTTGGGTTTTTTTTTCCATTCTTCACTGTACATTTTTGCAAGGGCAAAACAAGAATGGTAAAACATTCAAAATAAAGGAGTTTGAATGTTTCAAGAGTCAAAAAGAAGAAGTGTTACTTTTTTCTTCATGAAGAGATGGAAAACCTTGCAGCTGAACCCGTGGGCTAGGATCTTGCATTTCGTTCCGTCTCGGCCAGGCATTCCCGAACTAATCCTCTAGCATGGATGATGCCTGCAAAAGAATTGGATGTGTTTTAAATCATCCCATTCAGTGACAGTCCACAGGAAGGTTTATGTATTTCTGTCCCCAGTTGCCAAGGCTACCACAGCAGGCCTCAGCAAAGGGGGACAGCCCAAACATCAGCTGCCACTAAACAAGTCTGCCTTCCCAAACTTCTGCTATAAATTGAGAAGGGACTAAACCAGGAGTCAGGACACTGTAAGATTTGTAAGTCTGCAGTGGCAGGTAGATCTTAATGTGCAGTGTGGGCCTCCTTAAAATCAAAGATTTAAGGGGGGAAAAGAACTCTTAACCACCAGTGAGTTATTTTGCTAGTGGAGTGAAACAAATTACAAAGTTATTTGGGGAGTCATTTGAGCAAGCTCTTAATGCTTTGGTATAGTTCTTCTCTGGGAGGATGCACCAAAGTCCAGGCCATCATAATATTGTTCAAAGACAAGTTGTGTCTCTCATGTAAAAATAAGAGATTTTTTTATAGTGTGTGCAGAAAGTTACCTCCTAACACTGGCTCAGCTCCCAGTGTAAATCATCACCACTTTACATGCTGCCATGTCTGCTCTCATCTGACAGACATAATGTGGAATTTTCCACTACAAGTCCTGTTTCCTTGAGTTCCAGCAATCTGGACCTTGGTTCATAATCCTGGAACTAAATGTAGATTTATGCTTCCAGAGCTGCTGAAAGAACAGAGCTTGAGATAGATGTTAAAATAGGATGGACAGATTTTTCTACAACAAAAGTTTATATTTTGCTGACTAGGCAAGACAGAAGGTAATTTCTCTGCTCATCATGCTCCTTAACAAGGTGGAGAAAGGGCAATAGATGGGGGTTAATCTCTAATGGCTTCTGTTTCTAGAAGGCTGCTAGCCCAGATCACAGCAGCAGCCTCCTGACCTGGGAGAACTTGATGAGTGCAAGGCTTTGCAAAGGGTTAAACTGCCATGGACAAGGAAAGCTGCAGCTGTGGGATGCAGAAACGTGAACTCAAAGCAGTGTGTTAGACCTGGATCTGGTGGCAGGATGCCCAGTTCATGCAGCAGAATACTCTGAATAATGTAGAACACTGGGAATTTGGCCAGTTTTAGAGGTCAGTAGCCTCTGTGCCCAGGAGCAGGCGCAGCTGGGGACAGGGACTTTATTCAGGGATAACTCCATGGCCGTGGAGGCAGCAGTCACATGGTTACTCTCACTCACTTCTGCTCTCACACTTGCACATGCTCCTTCAGCCACCAGGCTCCCAAAATGGAAAGAGAGGTACCTTTGTGACCAAAAGATGGCAGCAAAAAGTATTTATTCGGGATTTTGTGCAACACTGGCAAGTCACAGTGGCAGCATTGTATCTTAAACCTACGTTGTTGCAAGAGGCAGCAAAGCAACTTTTTCCTCACTGAGTTAAACCATCCAGTCCAGAGAGTGTCTGCATCTCTCTGGGTCTCTCTCAAGCTGTCCCCATTAGCCTGTTGCCATTCATGATCTATTAATACTGAGTCAGGCAATGCAATAAAGAGAGACTCCAGCAGCATTGATTTTAGCTGGGCCAGATTCCACTTACCACTCATCAGCAGACTTTATTGCATCCTTTCCCAGAACAGCTACTAGTCATTTTATTGCATGTCATGGCAGATATATTACTCTTCCATAATGGTTGAGCCTTAAATAAAGCTTTGTAGTCTCGGGTAAGTGTAAGGGGGATTTGCAAGGTGCAGAAGTTAGTCTGTTACAATAACATTCCCGTTTGGTGTTGAAGGCAATCTCAGCACAAGGACCACAGGAAAGGAGGAAAAAGTAACCACGTCATGCTAGAGAAGGAGAGGACTGCCAGTACAACTGTTGTCTGTGGCCTTTCAGGGTCATTTCAGGAGCTGGAGCAGTGGAATGTCCCACTGCTCCTTCAGAAATATCCCTGCACGTCCCCTGCAGAGGACAATGTCAGGCTGATGTCAGCAGTGGGGCATGCAGGGGTTTCTTTTACACCGCAAGGAAAGGGCGTTTATTACCCCTTTTAGCTGACAAAGCAAAGCTGGAGACACTCATCAGCCAGCCCTAAAAGCTGCTCTGTCCCTTACTGGTGGACTTTTAATGACATGCACTTGACAGGAGGCAACAGAGCCTAAGCAGCCCCATTCTCCTCTCCACAGAGTTCTGCTCATGTTTGACAGCCTGAACAGCCTTCCCTAACACCTTTTTGGGTTTGTTTTTTTTTTTGTAGCTCTTTTTCTCCACCGGCCTCAGTGAGAACTACCACAATGTTGTATTTCTTTGGGCAAAATGCACTTCAGTGAAGATTCATGGGCCAAATAGATGTGTGCCAGATGTAAACAATGCTGGGCTGTGGGTTTTGGGGAGTGGGGAGAAAAGGGAATTGAAATGGCAAGTAAATCACCAGGAGCCTGAAAGAATGTATACATGAGATGTTCTGCAATAAGATTGAATTATTAACTGAAACTCCCTGTATGCACATGAGACACATTTTGTCACTGTTTATCTATCAAATACTGCCCGGGCAGAGCATCCCAAGGTTTCAGTTGCTGGTTAATTCTCCCACTTTCAGGAGGAGCTCAAGTTGTCTCTTTTCAAAGGAAACAGTTGTCCTTAAGCTGTATACAAATAGTCAGTGCACAAAGAGGATGGGAAACGATTCTTTTTAAAAATAAGTTTCAAAGTTACCTCTTTTTAGCCTCTCCATCGCACTTTTACTCCCAGCATATGTAGGTCTAATCTCTTTTCCTAATTCTTCTATGATAGCTAGAAGTTCTGCATATTTGCTCTGTGGTACTTGACTGCTGCTGGTGCCCTGTAATTGAAAATAGATTAATCTGAGTCAAATACTGTAAAAACAAAACAATTACAAGAAACAGCAAGTAGAAGTTTATGAAAGACCAAAAATATCTCTGTAAATCACATTTTTAAAATAACAAAATTTCAGGATTATTATATAAACATGATGGGTTTTTTTTTTTTTGCAATTGCTGCTACAGTTGGACACAATGCCCTTCAAAAATTGGGATCAACTGTGAAGATGCAGCTGCAAGCCTTGGACGTTGGGTGAAGCAGAAGTTAAAACAGTCCTGCAAAACCAGCAAACTGGGAACTGCTTATTTTACCCTGCCTCTCGTTTTTTCAATGTTTATTTTGTGGAGAAGTTAGCCAGGTAGGGAGACTGAGAAGATAAAACTGTATAGAAATACTGTGTTTTTAACAAGTAACTTTAAAATATGTAAGTGCCCTTACATAGCATAATTCAAGACATTTCTCTGTGACTCAGACAGGACAGGGCTAGCAGTTAATTAGGAACCAACCTCACTCAGTACTCAGCTTAGCCTAATTTGATCCCCAGACATGTGCAAGGAAGCAGTCTGCCATTTGGGTTTGATTTCAGACCTTGCTGGGAGGGAGGAACACCTCAGATTACAGGCCACAATCCCTGCTACTATGCAAACGTAGGGTCAGTGATCTGATTAAAGGAAAATAAGCAGAGCTGTACCTGCATCCCCTGTGTGTAGCCTAGAGATGGGGGGCCATAGTCGTTTATGAGCTGTCTGTATTGTGCTGATGTTGCCATACTTGTGGAGGGAGAGTGAACACTCCCAGCTGCAGAGAGAAAAGAGAAAAAAAAAAAACTGTTATTATCTAAAGATTAATTAGTCTGTTACATTGGGACACATTTTAATCACTTGTTCTTAAAGATGTGACCTCTCACCTTTGTCTAAGATCACTAATGACATTTCTGAGCATCACTGCTAGGAAGAGAATGGCTGAATTAATGCTTCTCTCGTGTCTGATGAACACTTGGAAACAGCACAGCCTGCAGCATTATCAGTGCAAATTGTTTGCCTAAAAGTGAAGCAGGGTGCAGCATGACAGGTTTCTTCTGCCTAGACAAACTGTAAGTATTGAGGAGCCCTATTTTTGCATATATACATTCCACACAGATGAGTCTAATGTGCTGTGCTATTTTTACTTTTTCAGTGCAAGTTATCTGAAAGTAATTTTGCAACTCAAAGTGTCATCACATGGTCAAAGCAAGTTACCCTCAGTACTATTTTCAGCCAATGCCAGAACTATTCCTAGGGAACAGTCAGTTGAAGTACATCAGATCTGCTGCTCATTGTGTGACATGGGAGGAGAGGAGTGCTACCATTATTCCTCTTCATGTGATATCAAACATTTTTAGCCAGACAAATTGTGCTGTATAAGTAGATCAAAGGGAAAATAACATCACTTCATGTTATGGTTACTTTTTCTAAAGTTATAAACTATTATATTCACACCTAATGAGTTTTGAGTCAGTTACAAGCTCCAAAAACAGATTCTAATGTCATCACTGACAAACTGCTCCAGAAATGAGCAATGAAAACGCCTTCTCCCCCTTGTCCCACAATGGTAACATTTTAGGTTTGAGAAACAACTATTAGATTTTTTTTTTTAAGGGGCTTAATTCTACTGCCCACTTCACAACTGTGCTAAAAAACCTGCTGGTTATGCACTCGAGAGCAAGGGAGCATCACACCACTGAACTTCTTCACTCTTGCAGCTCAAGTGCCCTTGCATCCATGGATGCTGCTGCCTTTGCCTGTAGGCACAGACACAGACTGCCTGCTGTCTGGAAATATCTCCCCCTTTACCAACTCCTCTGCTGAAAATTCCCAACTGTCTTTCATATGAAGAACAAATCTCATTTACCAGCCTTCATTTAAATCTAAATTAAACTGATGCTAAAAGTCACTGGGGCTCAGAACTATGTAAATCTCTAATTTTGTTTTAAAGTTGAAGATTATTTCATTCCTATTTTCCCCTCTCCACAAAAAGAAAGGGCCAGCAATAACTCTGTAAAAAGCTCTGCTAAACAAAGTGGAACGGACTGTTGTCCTGAGATGGGAAGTCTCTTCCCACTTCAGAGTTATCACAGGATATCACTCATTACAAGTTCTTTATTTTTACTAGTTAACCAGATGTGAAATCCCAAAAAGGCGAATTGAGCTGGTCACTAGGTCACCTTAAAAAGAGCAAGGTTTCTCTTTGTCTTTAACAAATCTGCTAAATTTCATGTCATTACAACATGCAGTTTCATCACTGAGGTTTCACATGGAGCTAATTTTGCTTAAGCATAGTAAACCCCCCAAAAAACTACACACCCTTAAAGTAGGGCACTCTAGGAACAGCACAGTTGTCAGCTACTCTCTCAATTAGTTCTTCACATTATCAGCTCAAAATACACACACATGTGTAAGATTTTTCTATGTGAAACTCAGTATTTCAAGTCCAGATGACTGAATTTCAACAATTAGTAAACATGACACAACAGCAAACCGCATCTTTTTTCCAAGGACTTCAAAATGCTTCAGAAACATTAATGAGCCCCTTGTGCTGCAAGGTAAGAAGGTTTAATTACCTCAATTAAGCAGAGAAAGGCTTAAGTGATTTTTCCTCATGTACAATAAAACAAAAGGCCCATCCTGCAAAGACTTGTCTCTGAACTGTTGTTGCAAGCAGTCACATCCAAGAGCTGGGAGCTTCAAACTGGATGTGAATAAGGCAAGGACTTTGATGACCAGGCTCAAGAATCCTGAACAAAACTGAGCTGCAGCCCTTGCACAACTTAGAGCAACTTATTGATCCCATATGGGTTGATGATAACATATTGGTGGTTTAGGGTATCAGGAAACTGTGGGCATTGGAACAGGCTCCCCAGGGAAGTGGTCACAGCACTAAGCCTGAGTTCAGGAAGCATTTGGATAATGCTCTCAGGGTGTCCTGGGTCTGATGGGTCCCTTCCAGCTCAGCACATCCTGTGATATCACAGCACGGACAATTCAGGGATTGTTTCACGTTCTGTTAATTCAAGCAATGACACACACTTGGTCTGCAGGAGATAACACAGCACGAGTGAAAAACTCTCCTAGAAACACGAGACGCCAGCACAAAGCAGAGCCGGATCTACACCCAGGGGCTGACCGAGAAAAGTTTCCCAGGGGTGGGGACAGCACGGGGGTCGGTAACACGGAGGGACAAAAGCAAGGAGGGCTGTGAGGATGCGGTGAGGCGGGAGGGATGCGCGGAGCAGCCGGGGCTCTGCAGAGCCGCTCTGCAGACACTAGAGGCCATCGCTGAGAGCGCCGGGCCCTGCCAAGTGACAGAGCGTGGTAACCATGGTGAGTTTACCCGTTTCTTTGCAGTCTGCATCAAAAATGTAATAAGACATAATGCCATGCGCCGACCACTTTATCAGCAGCAGCAGCAGGCCCGGAGAACAAAGGAAAGGATTTGGCTTGGCCGCGGTACCAGCCTCCGTACATCCGTGTCAGAAGTTGTGCCAGTCAAACTCAGCTGGAGGGGGGGAAGAAAAAGCAAAATCCTTGGTTTCACCTCAATTTAAAATGACGCGATCATGAAAATGAAATTAATTGGGGGGGGGGGAGTATTAGTATCTCACAGGGCAACAAACCTTGAGCTTTTTGACCTATCGCTTTGTATGTTAATCTCAAGGAGAAGCCCTGAGTCTTGGATGACTATTTTACTCAATTAACCCAAAATTCATCTGCATGTCTGAATAGCCTGTGTATCTTGGATTTTAAAAAAAAAAAAAATCACCAGATATTGCTATTATAGTTAGAAATTAGGCCAGGAAGTCTCACAGTCAATACCCAGTCAAAAATCGGTGTGATGATTAGGTATTCACTAGAGAGAAAAAAGGAGGGGGGATCTAAATTGAGGCTTGCTCTCTCTAACGTTAAAATGACAATGGAGACAGTTAAGAACTGACAGAATCGAAAAGGGAGTGTGCTTGGTACTGAATTTCAGTGGCACCCTGGATCACATCCCAAATTATCTTAGTGCTTGCTGTTGTTTAAAACCTCAATTAATATACATGCTTTCCTCCCTTCACTTTCCCAATTAAGTGTACACAAAACCTTGTAGATTCCTCACTTGTTCTAGTGCAAACAATGTCTTTTATGTCTGATTTTAAGCAGAAGACTGCCACAAGCATATTTCCCCACAAAAATATAGTGATTTCCTTAATTAATTAATATTAATCTTTATTAATTATGGGGGGTACAGCAAACAGAAATGAGATTTTGGTATCAAAATCTCTTCCTTCCAGCAGTCTCTCTCAGCCCAAATTAACACCCCAAGAGACAAAGGATCTCAAATCAATCTTTGTTTGCCTAAACTCCTGCTGACCAGGAACCTTCTCATTAATTCCTGAGAGGTTTGTAGGGATCCCTTCAGCTCCAAGCCTGTGCAGTGATGACCGATTTGCTGCTTCAAGTTTTAATTCTTAATTAAAGAATTGCTGCTAGCTGGAAAAATAACAGGGAAGGCATCTTGCTGAGCACCCTGAAGGAAGCAGCAGGAGCAGGAACACTTGGGTACACTCACCTGATCCACTGTGGCAGATGCCAAGGCATCAGCTACCCCCCTGTTCCACAGGCAGCAAAGGAAAACCAGGAACAGTCACACAAATCGCTGAGTTACTCATGTAGGACTGACTTAGATAAGCCAAGGGCCAAACCCACTGGATATGTGTTTCCCAAACCCACTGGATATGTGTTCTCTACTGCCCCGGATTTTGTAAAGTCCTAAAAACCCACAAAGGCCAACTCCTGCCATTTTACTGACTCTTTCCACACAGGAACATGAGAGCATTTCAGAAGAGATACCTGGAGCCTGGACTTTATCCAAGGTGTGTGGTGCAGTCTGTGGAATCTCAACAGTTCTCCCTTTGTTTCACAAACCCTTCGAGCTGAGGCTGCTTGAAACATCAAGGCTGTTGCCATTTCAGTGGTCACCACCTCCCCAGAGCCCAGTGCTGGAGGTTACTGCTCTGCCACACCCTGCAGGACCTCCTCACAGAGTCCTGACTGAATGGGGTACCAGACAACGAGGCTGGAACATTTTAACTGAGAGGATATGAGCTCTTCTGTCCTAAATCAGGCAACTTTGCAAGAAAACACGTGAGAAATGTTCCTGAAGCTGCTTTGCCAACACACACCATGAGGCATCCTCGAGCATGAGGGGAGAGGTAACAGCTTCACCCAGCACAGCGATTTCTGCAGCAAGTAGCTGAACACAGCTGTAGTGTCTTGGCTGACTACAAGAATATTTTATTCTTTAGCCCTCTACACACCTTGGTTTGAGTTCAGCAAGAACTCCTTGCCATCCATGGGACACCACATTCATGTCTACACAGGTAGATCCACTGCACAGCCAAGCCACACACTGAATTCTAACAGCAGTTGCCAACCCAGAGTTCAAACAGAGCCCTCATTCCCCCCAGCCTTTCCATAAATTTTTAAATTTAAAATAATGGACCCTGTTCTCATTTGCACAAACCATTCCTTATAGCAGTGACTGTGAAAATTGTATTTTCACACACTATTTCTCCCTTGAACAGCCCTTGTGGAAGGAACAGACCTTTCTTTGAATAAAACTATTTCCTTTAAAAAAAACGCAGTGTGCAGACACATAAATATGTTCTCAAGAACTAGGACATTCTTTATCATAACAGCCAGAGGCCTTGCTCTTTTGATCTGTCACACTCTGGGCCTTTCCTCTAGTACTCTCATGCTATTTAATCTTTCCATGTGGATAACGGTCATGGTTTATGTCTCCTCTTCCTACCCTCCTGTCTCTTTTTTTATCGGAAAAAAATAAAGCCAGTCCCTTGACTCCCCACCATTCTTCTTTTCCTGCTTAAGCTATTCCTACACTAGCAAGTTTGGCATCACAAGGAACAGATCAAAAGATGAAAGCATTTGGTTCATGTACACCACATGGAGTTGGCCTGAGGGGGTATGACTTAAGGTTAGATTTTAGTCTGGTCCCCCAGACTAGGGGGGGTATGGATTAAAGCTGTGCCACCTTTGGTTTGGATCCTTGTGTTCCCATTGCAAAGGATGGAGCATCCATGATGCACAACTGGAGCAGAGCTTCTGGATCACTTTTATCCAAAAGGAATCCAGTTAGCACAAACCCAAACTACTCTGCAGCAAAACCAAGGTGCTGGGTGGGGACCATGCTGACTCTGAAAACCACATCACTGCTCTCAAGCCAAACACTCAGGTAGGCAAAGCCAAAAATACCCGTTTTCTAAATGCCCAAACAAGTCCACTTGAAAATTGCTAATTCTGAAACATGTTCAGCAAGCTTCTTTTTACATCGTGCTTAACTTCACATGAACTTCAAGAGATGAGGGATCCAACAAATTTCAGTCTGAATTGGAGAGGGGAGCATACTTCTTAGAAATTATCCCCCCTGCTAAGGCACAAACACTTTGCTCTCTGTTCTGCCTACAAAGAGTATTCTTTCCAGTACTCCCACTCCAAAAACAACCTCTCAATATGGTCAACAATATCAAACAGAAGCTGTCTCTGTAAAGGGCGACAAGCGAGCCATGTGCTCGAGCAAGTCTGCACTGCAGTGCTGAGAACAGAAGGGACAGCCTCGTGTGCTGGTGTCGTTTCTCAGGACTGAATGGAATTGGTCTCTCCAGTTGCCAGCTACAGTCCCAGACAGGGAAGTTGTTTTCATTTCACCTCCCAGTGAGAATTTGTACTTTTCACAAGACACTTGTGGTTGCTGCGAGGTGTGGCAGGTGCACTGAGAGCTTCTTTGGTCCTCAGCTAGAGCAGCCCTTGCTGTACGGGCCACCACTCGTTCATGTGGAACCAAGACACAGCTCCTTCCCTTGTCACTGTCAGCTGGAATTGGTGTTTCCAGACCCTACAGATGACAGCTTTTAAGCTTTTTTACACGAACAGGATTTTGTCTCAAAACCTGACATTTCTGCAAGGATGAGAATGCAAGTAAAGGAAAATCCCAAGCTGTTTCTGCTAGCTTCTGTATCTTGAAACATATTTTCTCTGACCTGTGCATAGTCTAAACAAAATAGGAATGCTGGTGAATATCCACTGAGCCAGAAAACACATGGAAACATGGTGAAAAACAAACTACAGACCCATTCACAGCTGGTGTAAGAGTCTAGTTCAGCTTAAGTCAACGGAGGTGCTCTACTTCACCTCAGCTGAGCAGCTGGTCCCTTATGGAGAAATAGTCAAACAATATGAAACACAAGACAGATGAGGAGGAAACAGTACTTCCCAGGAACCAGTAGGATAAGCAAGAGAAGACAAACAAATCAAAATACGGTTGTTGGAAAAGGTAACAGAAGTTCCCCTGGGACACTGCAGGGTCAGGTGAGGCTGGGAAGGTAGAGCCACTGCAGGTCCCCGGTAGAGCACCTTTTACAGCCCAGGCAGAGAAGGTGCTTGTGAAGGAGATTAAATGGGGCTCCCCAAGCACAGGCAGCTTGGAATTGAAAGCTTGGGGTATTGCATGCAGGAACCCAATTCCCTGAGCACAGGCCCTCCGGGAAGGTGACTTCTGACAAATTTCGGACAAAACACTGCAAGCCTGATTGCAGCCACCCTGGGCCAAGTGTCAGCACTGACCTGGGCAATGGGGAAGAGGAACAGGCACTGAATTCTGCTGTGACAACACATTCTCCTTCCCTCAGCCTGGTGTAAGGCAGAGGAGTCAGCACCCAGATGCTTCCAGCATCCTGAGTCACTTGTGGAGCAGCTGCATTTTCCTCACCCGCAGTCATCCCCAGATCTGCCGAAAACCCACAGAGGTTTCCTCCCGTATTTCCTCCCCCACATTCAGCTCTTCTCCCTCTGGACTTCAGTCCAGGGTTGGATTCCCAAAACATGCTCCCATGCAAGAACAGAGCCCAGGCACCCACCAACCACAACTGCTTCATCTCACCGATGTGCAGTTTAAGTATAATTTTGCAGAGTGGCTACTCTCAGCCTCAACTTGAGAAGAGTTTGTTCTGCAGCAAGGACACAGCTCCAAGAGCTGAGTCGACACTGCCTTCCCAAATACTCCTGCACCAGAAGCCCTGCACTGCAGGGAAGCAGCATTACCTCCCAGAGGAAAATCCCTGTGAGATCCACAGCTGCCCAGAGCCCTCCGTCGGCCGAGACCAAAATATTCAGCATTCATACAGAGAGGCTTCTGCAGGGCTGATTTCAGGCCAAAAGGGACAGATTTCCTGTTTTCCTCTCCTCTGCAGGACGGTGGAGGGGGGGGGTCGGGGGGGTCCTTCACTCCAGGTTTGGAAGCAAACCTAGGATTTATCCTCCTGGCTGGGGGGCATTTAATTTAGGCACAATAGAGAAGCAATGTCCTCCAAATCAGAATTAAGCTCCAGAAAGGAGGGGGCCATTTGCAGTCATATCACTCTGAATGCGATATGTGCAACTGCAAGGACTGCTTTGTCTAAGTCCCTTGGCCTTAGGCCACGGTGCTGGCAATACCACTAGCTAGAGGAAGAGCTGGTGCGTGAGGATAATGGCAGAAGACAGGGAGGGAAGAGAGAGCCCATTTTGGATTCAGAGGAGGACGTTCTTTCATTGAAAAGATTCTGGGGGTGTTGAGGATGATCCGAACTCAGAAGAGAGGACAACTTAGACAAGAATAGTTCCAGCATGACAGCAAACTGCTGCTAACTTGCCGATACAAGGGGGAAAGGAGGGTGGGAGAGAAGGGGAAGATAAAACTGCATGAAAGAATCCGAAGCCCTGATCGCAGCCCGAGCGTTGGGAAGCACAGACACGGCAGCGAGAGGGCTGGAGACAGAAACTTCACCGCTCGGCTCGCATTGTGCGCGGCATGTCTGAGCCGGGATTTTGCAGTCCCTGCTCGCAGAGCAGCCAGACTCGGATCCCCTCCACTGCATGACCTAATCCCCACCCCTCACCCACCATCGCAAAATACCACCTTTGTTTTCCCTGCAATTTTACGGCTGTTCCGGAGAGCAAGGCACAGGTTCTCGTGGGAGCCGGCAGGAGAACGGTTTCCCTTGCTGGGCTTTGTTTTGTTTCTTTTTTTTCCTCTCTTTTTTTTTTTCCCCTCCGGTGGCACTTCTGCTTTTTGTCAGAAATCCTCGGCACATCCCCTGCTCCCTGACCCCTCTGCAGAGCAGCACTCGAACCCACGGTGCTCCCCACACACGATCCCGGCTCCCCGAGCCTTTGCACCCTCGCGGCCCCACCGAGCTCAGCTCCACGCAGGATCGAGGTGGCACCGCCACCTCGGCTCATCCACCAGCTGGTGACGAGTCCTTGCAGTAAAATATGATTGCTGCTCTCCTGATAGCTAGAATAGAGATGCATCCCGGAGATCCCTTTCGCTCCTCAGCCTCCCAGGATCACAACCACTAACGGTGCTGTAAAAATCACCCGGGCACATTTCCCTCCCTCCTAAACCCAACTCCAAAACTTTTTCTCAGGAAAAAAAAGAAATCAGCTCGATTTGCGGCTGGCTGATGCCAGTCCTGCAGGCTGGGCTGCGGGAATGGGAGACGGGAATGGGATTTTTTAAAGAAAGTCAGAACCAACTTCTCCATTTTGGTGCTGTTTAATCGGAGCCGACGAGCACAGATTAGCGAGATCCCCTCCAAATATCCCACAGCGAAGCAATTGCTGCTGCGGCTTTGTTCAGGCTGCACCGATTCACGCACGGAGACCCGATGTACAGCAGCACCGCAGCACCGGCAAAAACCCGCCGGCTGATGCCTTCGGAAATCGGGAAGAGAAAAACGGGGGAATGTAGTTTTAAAAAAAGAAAGAAAAAAAAAAAAGGAGGCGAAAAGTTAACGCTGTCAAGGAAACTTTTTAAAGAGGAAAGTTGGAAAGACTCTTGTACAAATCTAAGGATGAGGAGTGATTTTTAAACAGGAGTTTTTTAAAAGAAATAGTGCAATCCCTGTGTGCCGCCCTCCCCCATCCCCAAAAAATCGCCAGCGAGCTGAGAGGGCTGCTCCGCTCGGGATGCGGGGGAGACTCCGGCGGAGGGAGCGCTGACCGAGGGTGGCCCCGAGGCGCTGGCGGCGCCTCCGCAGACGGAGGTCCGGGCTCCGGGGCTCCCCTCCGGCCCGCGGAGCGCGGCCCGGGGCGGCCCCGCCGCCGGAGGAGGCGTGAGGCGAGGCGAGGCGCGGGGCGAGCGGCCGCACTTGCGGCGTCCCGCCAGCAGCGGTCCTCGCTGAGGCGCCGCCGGAATATTCCTGATCCAGATCAATCAGCCGCCCCGGGGAGCCGAGCATGGAGGAAACCCGGCGGCCGGAGCCCCGGAGCGGCGGCGGCGGCGGCGGCGGCGGAGCGGGGCCGGGCGGGCGCGGTGCCCGGCGCGGGGGCGGCGCGGAGCGGGGCTGGCGGGGCTGGCGGCGCCGGCGGGCGGGCGGGCGCGGGTAATGGCGGCGCGGAGCCGCTGCCCCGCCATACCGGACTGGGCACAAACTCGAGTCCCGGGCTTCCCCCAGGTGCCGGTGCGGCACCCGCCGCTCGCCTCCCAAACTTGCCACCCAGTTGCCGCCGCGGACTTACCCGGGTTGAGGGGAGTCCCGGGGATGTGGGCGTTCAAGTTGGGCTTGTAAGACATTCCCAGAGACATGGCCAGCGGGAGGAGGAGAAGCGTCCTGAAATTCAACGAAGCGTCTCCGTGTCTCCCAGACACTTTGGGTTGTTTACAGCAGTAGCAGCACCGGCAAATATGGCCGTCAGTTATATTGACACCCACAATGCAATATATCATCCATACATCATGAGGAGACGCGGATCCAAAAACTTTGGGGGAGAGCCGGCAGCCACCCGCCGCGGCCGCCCGGCGCCCCGCGCACGGCGGCGCGGAGGGCGGGGGCGCGGCGGGCGGGGGCGCGGCGGGGGTGCGCGGCCATCCCCTCACAGACAATGGAGCTCCCCTCAGGGACCGCCGGCAGGGAGCGGGCCGGGCGGGCGGCGGCGGCGGCGGCGCGGAGCCCGCCGGCGATACGGGGAGGGGTTGGAGGGGGTGTGTGGGGGGGCTGTTTTAATTAACTTGGGAAAGTTTTGGCGCAAGTTGCGGGTTTTGGCCGGGCTGTGCCCGCGGCCGGCCCTGTCAGCCCCGGGTGTCCCCTCAGGGCGGCCCGCGCGCCGCCGTCTTTCCCGCCTCCCCCTCACCTCAGACCGGGCGTTCACTCCCCGGCTCCCCCCCGCTCCAATCTCCATGGAAAATACCTGTTGATAATTTTAAAATAAAAGGGTTTTTTTCTTCACCCACCCCCCTAGATGCCAACAAGAAAAAACCTGCCTTTTTTATTTCCTTTTAAATTTTTTTTCCCCAAACCACTAGTTCTCCCCGCTTGAAGGTGGAAGGTTAATGTGGATTGCAGCTTCTGAGGGACTAAAAAAAATTTGAATCTCGTTGACAATTGGCACATTTTCTGCTTGCAAACAGCAGTAAAACTTCCCCATCAAAATTAAAAAACAGGTTAAATGATGAAGATTTCCAGCGTGCGTCTGCCATCAGAACTCATCCTTTTTGCTGCAAGATATTCAGGTTTGCTCCTTCTGTCAATTAATATCGAACACACTCAAAAATTGTTCAATTACTCCAGATTCATCCCAGCAAAACTGTGTGGGATCTGGACAACCTCTCCTTAGGTGCACAGCTCAGCCTGAGACCCAGCAGATCAGACCCCCACGCATATTTTACCAGCAGCCACTCTGAGATCTGGTAGTTTTATTGTTTGTGCTATTTAATGTCTATCCATGGTTCATACTGCTCTCAATGCCAGCCACAGCAAACACGGAGAGCCTGATCCTGCTCCTTGGAAATCAGGGGCACATTCCTTGTCAGTGGCACTGATTCAGGCCTTGTGGACGGCCCTGCAGAGGGGAGCAGGTAACACCTCCAGCACAGAGCCACGGAAACAGTCACGGAGCAATCAGATGATTTCCTCTGCATAAAGGAGAATTGAGGGAAAGCGGGAAAAGAGGAGCAGCCTTTGAGACCCTGGCTGACGCCCTACTGACTGTGCACTGCATGAAAGGAACATCTGAAAATTCTGACTGGCACCAGATGAAACACTGTTGTGTTTTATTTCCAGACCAAGTGCTCGACTCCAGCGATCCTGGCGAGTTCCAGACTGGCACCGACTGTCCTTAAAACTGATCCATGCTCCAGTCGGCTAGAGAGGGGTCCTGAGAGCCCCAGGCACAGAATTCCACACTCAGTGACAGTAGTTTCACACTGGTGCTTGTGATTACAACTGTGTCATTCTTCTTAGAGTCCTGAAAGATTGTACTGGTAAACCCTCATTGTGTGAGTGAGAACTCTGCAAAACTAAAGCTTCACTTCCAGGTTTGTAAATAGCAGCTTTTCTGTTGAATGCTGGAAGGCCAGCAAAGTCCTGCACACCGCTCTGGGATTTTCCATCGTGTGGTTGTTTACAGTCACACCAAGTGAGTGCGAAATGGGAGCGTTCCGAGCTTTCCGTGTTTTTCACGGATTTTCACCAACTCTACAAAACTGTGCTCAGAGCAGCACTGTGAAGAACAAGATCCCCTGTGTTTTGCTTGGGTTTCATAATGACAGCTTCAAAATTTACAATATTCCAAGGGGGAGGCAGGGGATATGGAAAAAGTCCTGTAAAGATTATTCTTCCTTCAGCACAAGGCACTGTGAGGGCCAGGCTTAATGAGATGGTCAGGCTTGTAGGGCAGCATCATCTATCCTGCAGGCAGGAACCCAGCAGTATCACATCTGGGCACCTGATGTTTGCTCTGCAGGTAGCAGTGATGGCACAAGACACAAAACCCTGGTAAAGGACAAACTTACCGCTTGGCCTCAGACTCTATTTAAACTTCAGATGACTTTACTCTTGGTTCTTTGGCGCTGAGGGTTCACTGCAATTGTTCTGAACCAGGTGTGGCCACAAGAACAAAACCACCACAGTGCTCGGGCCCTGGGCTGACTGTTCAGCGGGGTGACCACAGAGTCGAGCTCCCTTGGAGGGGCTGCCTGTGGTTTCAACTTGTTTGATGTCCCAAGCTGGGCTGCAGCGCTGGAGTTGTGCAAACTGTGCCTCGAGTGAGGCAGCTCCAGCTCCCAGGCTGTGTGCAGTGAGCTGCAGGTCCCTGCTCTGCAGCCTGATGGCTCGGTCGTGTTCGCTGACAGCAAAAGCAGCTCTTCATCACCAAGTGGCCAAGTCACAGAGCAGGAAATACAGCAGAGCCATTTTATCACACAGGTGACATTTGCAAGGCTTCTGCACACTGAGACATAACTTAAATGTGAGCTGCTGTTTTCCAGCAAGGGAGGATGGACAGGAAGACATGTCTGTCTCCTCAGTCCCTACAAGAAGCACTGATGTTTTATTTTCCAGGTACAGCTGCCTCTTCTCAGTTGTGTAATACCTGAGACATTCACTCTGTCCCCCTACCCTTTCTGCTCTTGGTATTTTCTCTGTTCCCTCTCCTGGTTTGACTTCCTCACCTCTGCTCCTCCCAAACCACTGGGAATACTGAGCAGCCGGAGTTTCCACAGAGTTTGCCTCCAGCCCTTGCTTAGCCAGACCTCTGACTGATCTGAGGGAGGTTTTCTCTTTCCAAAGCTCTGCGGGGTCGGTGCCACGGCCCTTGGGCGAGGGTGTAAGGAATATTCATGCAAAGTGGGGTGTTGGAAGGTGCTGGCAGCTCTGCCACAGAGCCAGGGGCCTTGGGCCATGCTGTTAAACAAACTTGTTTGTCCCCTTTTATCTGGAAACAAAACGAAATAGTCATCACCGTGCTGTGCTGTAACACTCATGGGGACCTGCAAATGAAGAGCACAAACTAGGCTTGTTCCTTATCACCTTGGGTTAAGTCAACAATGAGAAGAATTAAAGATGGCACAGTAAGACCCTCTTTTTTTTTTCCTGGCATGTCTTCGATGTGTGTAAAACATTAAATTTGCGCATTAATTTCAATGTAATTAATTGTTGTCAGGCTTAATGAATTGAGTGACTTGGGGATATTCTAACTGTCCTTTACCCACCACAGAGTCCCACGTAGCAGCGAGGGGAAGGAGGTGGGAAGTTTGTTCCTTTTCCTAGAGGGAGTTTATATTCAAATACGTACCCCACATTTCTGGTGATCCAGCATCATACATAAAATAACCACAGGTGCACCTTCAAATTGCTGAGCACTAATTTAATCTTCGAGTCTCCAAACTGCTCTGGTGCTACAACCACCATGATCAACCAACATGAAAGGCCTCTGATCTGCCTAGACTGAAAATTAAGCTTTATAAGTCTTAGGTGAAGGCAAGGTTTAACCTCTGTGGAAAGCACAAGTGGTAGAGGCAAGTGAATGTCAGCTTTAACAAACAACATTTTCAAAGATGCTTTGCAGAGCTGAGTACCTTTCTCACAGGGATTGCAATGAGCCAGCAGCTCCTGGTGCAGAGCCCTTCCTTCCCCAGGACACCCAGCAGGCCCCTGGGGCAGTCTGGGACCCTGGCACAGAGGGAAATTTGTGCATTTTGTGCTTTTTTGGCATCAATATTGCTCCTTTCTTATCGCTTTGCTACAGCTCCTTACATTCCTGTCTCTGTTCCCCACAACTGCTTCCTGCTGATGCTACAAAGTTTCCCTCGTGCTTTTTTTGTTTCCAAGAGAAAACTGACAGCCCTTGATGTCCCTCCTCTGTGATCTGCCTTTTCTGGCTAGTATTTGCTGTCTACTGCCCCATCCTCACCAAAATGCACAAAACCCACCGAATCCTGAACAAAAATCCTCAAAATCCCCCTGGAAGCTCTGGATTGCTCCTCTCCAGTGGAAAGAGCCTTCTGAGACTCTGCAAGGAGGGAGGTGATGCAGTGTCCAATGCAGGAGTGCTGCAGCAGCAGCCAGAGCCAGGCCCCAGGAAATCCTCTCCCAGCGCCTGGCCCACATCCCCAGACAGCCTTGCAGCAATTTCAGGTGGAAGCCTGGATGGCTATTCCAGGCTTTCCCCCTTCAATCCTCCCTGACAAACTTCTTCCCAGTCTAGCCCTGCTCCCCACTTGGAGATGGTTCCTCCCAGGGCCAGATGCCGTATTATCTGGAGCGACTTTCCCTCCCAGCCTTGTTTTCCTCCTGCTCCTGAGTCCTTTGTCTGGCTGCCAAGTGGAGCAGCCCTGCCAGGCAGACAGCTGCTCCGCATCGCCGCACGGGTGCTGCCCTCTGGGCTGAGGAGCCGATTCCAGGCCCGTTCCATCTCCGAGGGGGACGCTCTGCCTCGGAGGTGTCGTGTACCAGCAGGACAAAAAGCAAATAGCACCTGTGAAGCTGTCGTAAGGCACTGGGAATGTTTAAGATAAAGAGGCCTTGATGGCGTTCTGGGTTTACCTCTGAGACACAGCGAGTAGAGAGCCTGCTCTCTCCTGCTCTGGCTGGAGGTCTCCCTGGAGGACCACGGAGAAGGAATGAGAAGTTTCCAAGCCCTCAGCCACATAAGCACAAGCCTGGAATCTCTCTAATGAAAGTTTTCCTCTTTGCAGTTTGCCAGGCAAACAAGCACCAGGCACCAATATCAAAACCAGCCCAGATTCCAATGAAAACCAGCAAAGAAAGAGTAGAAATGAAACTGCCTCATTTTGCTTGGTAAGTACCGGCAAATAAAACTACAGAGCCCCTTCAGGGAGAGGAGAGGAGAGGAGAGGAGAGGAGAGGAGAGGAGAGAGCTCTCCCTGCCCTGCTGGGCACAGGCAGCCCAGCTGATACTGGGGCTTGGGCCAAGGAGCTCCTCCTTCCTTGCTATTGCTTGCAGGAATGGAATATCACTTTATCCCCATGTTACAGGGCTTCTCTGCATCATTTTTCCAGACAAGCGT